AGACCTATTTCGTTGCTGTGCAATTTTTCAAAAATATTTGAACGTATTCTTTTTAATCAGATCTCCTTCCAAACCAAGTTGTTAGTAAATGAGGGCCAACATGGGTTTACCATGGGCAGATCCACTTTAACGAATTTAACTTGCTATTCCCAAGATATATCTCAGGCTTTGGATAACAGAGGTCAATTGGACGTGATGTATGGTGATTTTTCAAAGGCCTTTGACAGAGTCAACCACCAGCTCTTATTAAGAAAGCTGTCGAATATTGGTTTCTCTAATTCTCTCACAAATCTTTTTGAATCTTATTTGACTAAGCGCAACAATTTTGTGGTAGTAAATGGATTTAAGTCCAACAGTTACATCACAGCTGCTGGAGTGCCGCAGGGCTCCACTCTTGGTCCTTTGCTATTCACATTATTTATTAACGATGTGCTAGATTGTATTCGCTACTCAAAAGTTCTCATTTTCGCAGATGATATTAAAATATACCGTGAAATTAGTGGTAATAGTGACTCCTTGCTTCTTCAAAAAGACATAAATAATTCGGTTTCTTGGTCATTGCTCAACTTTTTACCTTTAAATGAGAATAAATCCTTTATTATTTCGTTCACACACAAGCTTAATGTATGCGAGTTTGATTACAAAATCAATCATCACAGCTTACAGAAATGCGCTTCCATTTTGGATTTAGGTGTTTTGTATGATAATAAGTTCAGTTTTGCAGAACATGTGGAGAGCATTACTTCACAAGCTAAAAGATCACTAGGGTTCCTTATTAGAAACTGCAAAGATTTCACTAGCATTCAAGCTTTGAAAACTTTGTTCTATGCTTTGGTGCGCTCTAAATTAGAATACTGTGCGTTAGCTTGGTTTCCTTATTACAACTATCAAGTAGTATGCCTTGAGAACATACAGCGCAGATTTTTAAAGTACCTCTATTTTAAGGAACAGAAAACATGGCCAACGAGAAATTATCCGCAAACAGCTCTACTAGAAAAATTTGATATGAGTTCATTATTTTGTAGACGTGTTACTGGCGTTATCGTCTTTTTATATAAATTATTAAATAATCAAATTGATTGCAGGGCCTTAACTAATTCTTTATCCTTTCTGGTACCTAGAACTAGCAGCAGGCATTCTGTAACATTATACACTAGCATTGCTAGAACTAATTTTGGGAGAAAAGCACCGATATATGTAATAAGCTATTTTTTAAAAGAAATAGAAATGAATTCCGATTTTGACATTTTTAACACTAGCCTTAAGTCTATAAAAGACACTGTTAGAATTAAGCTTAAGTAGTTTACACTTTACTTTCAGATATGGTTTTCATACTGTTGTATTTTAATTTAAGTTATTTACTTCTTGATGTATATGCCTAGATTTACAGATTGTGTGTTTGATTTTTGATATTGCAGATAAATGTAGGTATTTATTTCGGCTTTAATTTATTCATTCATTCATTTATTTCTATTTTAATTTCATTTAAGTTAAGTTACTGTTCTTATGTTTCATCATTATATTGAGATCTTTGATTATTTATGCATTTAATTTATTAATTTGTTATTTTCTTTGATTCTGAATTGTTGTCATTGTTTTTATATTCTTTATAATTGTCCTGTAACTGGAATGTGTAGTTCTGTTGGGCAATAAACTTTATTTATTTATTTATTTATTTATTTATTTCTCGATTTTTCATTTCAGTTCTTCCATATTTCAGTTTTCCAAGTTTTCGAATTTTTCAAATGTTTTGATTTCTTAATCAAGCGATTTTTCGATTTCCCGGTTTTATATTTTCTGTTTTTCAATTGTCGTTTTTTCAAATTTCCGATTTTTCAATTTTTCAAATTTGACATTTATAAACTGTCAATTTTTCGAGTTTTCAATTAATCGATGTTTTGATTTTCCCATTTCTTGACTTTCGAGGGTTTCGATATTCCTGTTCTTCAATTCTTTAATTTTTCGATTTTTCGGGTTTTTGATTTTTTATTTTTTAATTTTTTTAAGGTTTCAATTTTTCGACATCACTTTTTGGATTTTTCCATTGCTCAATATTTCGATTTTTTAGTTCTCAGTTTTTGGATATTTCAGTTTTCGGATTTTTCAGGTTTTCCATTTTTCAGTTTTTCTTTCATTTTTCAGTTTTTCGATATTTCAGTTTTGGGATTTTTCAATATTTCGATTCTTCGACTTTTCGATTTTTGACTCCTGGATTTTTCGATGTGTCGATTTTTTACTTTTTCGATTTTTCAATTTTTCGATTGCTTAATCTTTTGATTTTTCGACTTCCCGGTTTTAGATTTTCTGTTTTTCAATTGTCATTTTGTCAAATGTTCGATTTTCTTATTTTTCAAATTTGACTTTTATAAACTCTCAATTTTTCGATTTCTCAGTTAATCGATGTTTTGATTTTCCCATTTCTTGATCTTCGAGTGTTTCGATTTTCGCTGTTCTTCAATTCTTTATTTTTTTTATTTTTCAGATTTTTAATTTTTCGATTTTTCAGGTTTTTAATTTTTTTAAGGTTTCAATTTTTCGACATCACTTTTTGGATTTTTTTTCTTTTTGCTCAATATTTCGATTTTTTAGTTCTCAGTTTTTGGATATTTCAGTTTTCGGATTTTTCAGGTTTTCCATTTTTCAGTTTTTCTTTCATTTTTCAGTTTTTCGATATTTCAGTTTTGGAATTTTTCAATATCTCGATTCTTCGCTTTTCGATTTTTGATTCCTGGATTTTTCGATGTGTCGATTTTTTTACTTTTTCGATTTTTCGTTTTTTAAATTTTAGATTTTTTAACTTTTAAATTTTAGATTTTTCCATTTCTCGATTTTTCATTTCAGTTCTTCGATATTTCAGTTTTCCAAGTTTTCGAATTTTTCAAATGTTTTGATTTCTTAATCAAGCGATTTTTCGACTTCCTGGTTTTATATTTTCTGTTTTTCAATTGTCGTTTTTTCAAATTTTCGATTTTTCAGTTTTTCAAATTTGACATTTATAAACTGTCAATTTTTCGAGTTTTCAATTAATCGATATTTTGATTTTCCCATTTCTTGACTTTCGAGGGTTTCGATATTCCTGTTCTTCAATTCTTTAATTTTTTGATTTTTTATTTTTTAATTTTTTTAAGGTTTCAATTTTTCGACATCACTTTTTGGATTTTTTCATTGCTCAATATTTCGATTTTTTAGTTCTCAGTTTTTGGATATTTCTGTTTTCAGATTTTTCAGGTTTTCCATTTTTCAGTTTTTCTTTCATTTTTCAATTTTTCGATATTTCAGTTTTGGGATTTTTCAATATTTCGATTCTTCGACTTTTCGATTTTTGACTCCTGGATTTTCGATGTGTCGATTTTTTACTTTTTCGATTTTTCAATTTTTCGATTGCTTAATCTTTTGATTTTTCGACTTTCTGTTTTTCAGTTGTCATTTTGTCAAATGTTCGATTTTCTTATTTTTCAAATTTGACTTTTATAAACTTTCAATTTTTCGATTTTTCAATTAATCGATGTTTTGATTTTCCCATTTCTTGACCTTCGATTGTTTCGATTTTCCTGTTCTTCAATTCTTTATTTTTTTTATTTTTCAGATTTTTTATTTTTCAATTTTTCGATTTTTTAAGGTTTCTATTTTTCGACTTCACTTTTTAGATTTTTAGATTTTTCAGTTTTTAGATATTTCAGTTTTAGGATTTTTCAATATTTCAATTCTTCGGCTTTTCTATTTTTGACATCTGGATTTTTCGATGTGTCTACCTTTTTACTTTTTCGATTTTTCAATTTTTGGATTTTTAAATTTTAGATTTTTCAATCTTTTGATATTTTAATTTTTCAATATTTCTTAATCTTTCTATTTTTAGACTTCCTGATTTTAGATGAACAGTTTTTCAATTTTTTATATTGGCCTATTTCGGTTTCTCAGTTTTTCCAGTTTTCCATTTTTTCGTTTTTTGATTTTTTCGCTTTTCCAATTTTTCAACTTTTAACTTTTTGTTTGTCGATTTCTCTATTTTTCGATTTTTCGACTTCATCACTTTTCGATTTCTCGTTCTTTGGATCTTTCAATCTCTCAATTTTTCGAATTTTTAAGTTTTTTGATTTCTCGATTGATCGAGGTTTGGATTTTTGGATATTTTGATTGTCAATTTCTCAGTTTATAAATTGTTCAATTTTTAACATTTCGATTTTGACCTATTTCGGTTTCTCAATCGTTCGACTTTTCGACTCCACGATTTCTTAATCGTTTGAGTTTTTTTTTCTCGATTTTTCGTTATTCGGTTTTTAAATTTTAGATTTTTGGTTTTTACATTTTTTCGATTTTCAGTTCTTCAATGTTTGGGTTTTACGATTTTTTAAGGTTTCGATTTTTCGATTATTAGATTTCTCGATTTTTCGAATTTTCGATTATTTTAATTTTTTTTTCTCACTGTTAATATCATACAGTGTATCGAAAACAACCACAAAAAGATTAAAAAAAAAATCATACAAAATAGTACACAGTGTTTCCGAAACATTTTCCCGAAAAAAATCCATTGGGTTATTACGATTTCAACAATATTCTTAGTTTAAGACGTTTTGCTAGTATAAAACACAAATAAAGAATTAATTCTTAGCTAAACAAAATATGTAAAATCATCTAAATATGTACCAAAAATATTCACTTAGTCGTTATAAAAACCGACCAACCAATTATTTCCCGCAGAAATTATAGTCTAAACCAACCAAATCGCTTCTGAACGCTTAGAGTCGTCATTGGCTTGAGCGCACTCTGGTCTGTAAATCAAACAAGTTCTCAGGCGACGAGTTGTAGTGAATCAAGTTTTTTTATTGGCATCGACTATTTAAATTTGGCGCTTGCCTTTGGCGGTTGAGGACTCCAATGTCAATAAGGGTGGTTTTGCAAAATCAGCCTCTATGTCGCTTCTCTATGTTCTCTGGTTAGTGTATTCTATGTTCTGTGATTCTATGGTTAGTGTACAATCAGTTCTATAATACATCGGTGCTCGTGTCATTACAATAAATGATTTTGAGGTTATGTGGAAAACTTGTTGATATCTGTGCAACTGACTGAACCCCCAGAAAACGGCACATGAACACTAATTCTCTGCGAAAGATGCGAGAACTGGAAGTAGAGAATAGCGAAATCTCCGCTGAAGAAACCCAGTCTACTTCAGATGATGATGGTGACACGTGCGATGAAGACGAACTCAGCAAAATTTTCAAAAATTGTAGCCCAATGGCAGAAAAAGTGGTGGCTCCCGATAAATACATTCTACACATCGCTGCAACCTTGTACGTTCCCGTTCTAATTCATAACTACCATAATTATTTTTGTACCTTTGTTTAGGGAAACTAATCCGAACGCAGCGCTAAGTTTGTCCGATAATACATGTGAAGTTTACAATTTGAGCAATAACCAGTTTGCCAAGTTGCACGTCTTTGCAGAACACACAGATGTAATTAGTGAAATTAGATTTTCTAGTGAAAATAGTAATTTACTCTATACAGGTTGTGCTGATGGACGTGTAAGATTGTGGGATTTGCGAACACCACGTGAATGCAGTGTGGAATTCAAAGGTGGTATGAAATTAATACTGTTCCACCCATTTATTAAAGAAATTGTAGATACTACTGTGGGAATTGGCAAATTTGAAGAAATCACGTGTTTCGATGTTTCACCCAATAACATGCTGCTGGCAGCAGGAACAAACTTGTTTGAAGGTGACGCATTCATGTTGTTTTGGGACGTAAGAAAACATTCTCTGTTGGGAGGGTACTGGGAATCACATACAGACGACATAACGCAGGTATTTTTCGCAAAATGGTGAAAACTTAGTCACAATATGTATTTTTAGGTGAAATTTCATCATGATGATCCGAATAAGTTGATATCAGGTTCTGTGGATGGCTTGATAAATTTGTATGATCTCTCACAAAATAATGAAGAAGACGCATTAATAGATTCATTGAATACAGAATCTTCTGTGGAAAAACTCAGGTGGCTACAACACCAAGGAAAAGATATTGTTGGTTGCATAACGCATACCGCAGATGTACAGCTTTGGCGTACTGATGACGCGCAACCGTATTGTCATCTACATAGGGCTGAAATTGCCAAAGCGACCAAAGTAAGTGTTAAAAAACCTTCACACAAGTTGTTTTACTCGAAAATTTCAGAGAAAGTCAGAGGAGCACATTTATGTGGTGGATACTTATGCAACCACCAACAATCTACTTGTTTTGGCTGGTTCGAATTATTGTGATGGGGAGAGTTTTAGGGGATTATCAGTGGCGGGTAAAACAGTAGAGCCAACATTTCGGTTTCTCAATAATATGCAACGAGTACGTGCTTCATGGTTTAATTGTCATGTAAGTTTGAAATATACACAAAAATATATTGATTTTTATTGATTTTTTATTTGTAGACTGATCTTCTACTAAGTGGTGGTGAGAAAGGAATAATTAATGCATGGAAACCAAGTTGATGAAAACGTGTAAAAACAAACGAAAAAATTGACTGAATGTAAAAATAAACTGTTATTGCTTGTAGTATTTATGTATCTTTTAACATTATATTTTTTCAAAATTGTGTGATCTGTTAAAAAATATAACTCCTTTTTTATTATTTTGTTAAAAAGCTTCGTGTTATACGGGGTGTCTGGAAGTCTGGAAGTGGTGAGTCTGGGAAAAATAGTAAAAAAATCCTTTTCACATTTTGGTGGAGTTACAATGATTTTAAAATTGGTTCTTTTGCTACGTTTAACAACTAAACAACACATTCATTATCACAATAACTAGAAATAAAGCTTTTACTTGTAATAACTGAAACACCCCCCCTTAAATTGACATGTAAGAAAAAGCTCGACAAGGAACCGCGCCCTCCGCTTCTACCACGTATTTCGGTGTTATTTAACCACAATTCCATTTAAATATTCAATTTCTATGACTTTAATATTAAACTACAACTGAAAAAGTGACAGTTTCAAAAAAAGCAATAAACAATATTTGAATACGCCATACACTCGTGAAATATTTAAACAGCAAAGATTTCTTATGTGAGATTAAGATTGGGCATCAGAAGCGTCATCGTTTAAATTAAAGGGCGGTTGAGGACTCCTCGACTTATGTTGGCAACAGTGTTCGTTTCTAACTAGGAATAGTTTAGTTTCGACAAATTGACACTAGATTTACCAGAATATTACAAGCTGATTACTGTTTCCTTCACTTTAATTCAGGTCACACGAATTACAGTTCGTCGTCTGAGAACTTGTTTGATCTACAGACCAGAGCGCACTCAGGCCAATGTCGACTCTAAGCGTTCGGAAACGATTTGATTTATAAGCCATGGTCCGTGATCTGATATACATCCTAGCCGGCCTAGACCATAATTTCTTGCTGTTTCAACTTTCGAATTCTCAGTTTTTCGAAATTTTAGTTTGGGGACTTTTCAGTTTACTCCTATTTATTATTTAATTTTTAATTTCTCAATTTTTCAAGTTCTCGGTTTTCAGTTTTTCTCTTCAATTTTACGATTTTTAAATATTTCGATTTTTCAATTTTAGACTTTTATAAACTCTTTATTTGTCGATTTTTCAATTAATTGATTTTTCAGGTTTTTCGGTTTTTCAATTTTTCCATTTTTTCAGGTTTCGATTTTTCAACTTCACTTTTTTGATTTTTCGATTTCTCAATTTTTCAATTTTTTAATTTCTCAGTTTTTCAACATTTCAGTTTTAGGATTTTTCAGTTCACTTATTATTCAATTTTTCGATCTTACGATTACGCAGATTTTTGATTTTTCAATTTTTCGATTCTTAGATTCTCAGTTTTTGGATATTTCAGTTTTGGGATTTTTCAGTTTTTTGATTCGTCAGTTTTTCTTTCATTTTTCAGTTTTTCGATATTTCAGTTTTGGGATTTTTCAATATTTCTGTTCTTCGACTTTCCATTTTTGACTTCTGGATTTTTCGATGTGTCGACTTTTTACTTTTTCGATTTTGAAATTTTAGATTTCTCAATTTTTTTGAATTTTAATTTTTCAATATTTAAAATTTTAGATTTTTCTATTTCTCGATTTTTCATTTTAGCTCTTCCATATTTCAATTTTTCAAATGTTTCGATTTCTTAATCTTTCGATTTTTCGACTTTCCGGTTTTAGATTTTCTGTTTTTCAATTGTCGTTTTTTCAAATTTTCGATTTTTCAATTTTTCAAATTTGACATTTATAAACTGTTAATTTTTCGATTTTTCAATTAATCGATGTTTTGATTTTCCCATTTCTTGACTTTCGAGGGTTTCGATATTCCAGTTCAATTCTTTAATTTTTCGATTTTTCAAGTTTTTGATTTTTCATTTTTTAGTTTTTTTAAGGTTTCGATTTTTCGACTTCACTTTATGGATTTTTCGATTGCTCAATTTTTTGACTTTTTAGGTTCTCAGTTTTTGGATATTTCAGTTTTCGGATTTTTCAGGTTTTCCCATTTTTCAGTTTTTCTTTTATTTTTCAGTTTGTCGATATCGCAGTTTTGGTATTTTTCAATATTTTGATTCTTCCACTTTTCAATTTTTGACTCCTGGATTTTTCGATATGTTATAATTTTTTGAGTTTTCAGGTTTTTGATTTTTCAATTTTTCGATTTTTTAAGGTTTCTATTTTTCGACTTCATTTTTTTGATTTTTCGATTTTTCAGTTTTTAGATATTTTAGTTTTAGGATTTTTCAATATTTCAATTCTTCGGTTTTTCTATTTTTGACTTCTGGATTTTTCGATGTGTTTTACTTTTTCGATTTTTCAATTTTTGGATTTTCAAATTTTAGATTGTTCAATCTTTTGATATTTTAGTTTTTCAATATTTCTTAGTCTTTCGATTTTTCGACTTCCTGGTTTTAGATGTTCTGTTTTTCAATTTTTCGATTTGTTAATTTTTCATTCCCGATTTATCGAGATTTGATTGTTCAGGTTTTCGATTTATCAGTTTTACAATTTTTTATTTTGGCCTATTTCGGTTTCTCATTTTTTCCAGTTTTCCATTTTTTCGTTTTTTTTATTATTCCGCTTTTCCAATTTTTCAACTTTTAACTTTTTGTTTGTCGATTTCTCTATTTTTCAATTTTTCGACTTCATCACTTTTCAATTTCTCGTTCTTTTGATCATTCAATCTCTCAATTTTTTAATTTTTCGAATTTTAAGTTTTTTGATTTCTCGATTTATCGAGATTTGGATTTTCCGATATTTTGATTGTCAATTTATAAATCGTTCAATTTTTAACTTTTCGATTTTTCGATTTTGGCCTATTTCGGTTTCTCAATTCTTCGATTTTTCGACTCCATGATTTCTTGATCTTTTGATTTTTCGATTTCTCGGTTTTTCGATTTTCCAGTTTTTCGATGTTTCGATCTTTCAGTTATCCGACTTTTTAAATTTGGGAGTTTCGATTTCTCCATTTTTCGTTATTCGATTTTTAAATTTTAGATTTTTGAATTTTACATTTTTTCGATTTTCTGATGTTTCATTTTTCGATTTTCAGTTCTTCGATATTTCGATTTTTCAATGTTTCGGTTTTACGATTTTTCGATTATTAGATTTCTCGATTTTTCAAATTTTCGATTATTTTAATTTTTCATTTTTTTTTCTCACTGTCAATATCATACAGTGTATTGAAAACAACTACAAAAATTGTCCCTAAAAACATTTAAAAATTCATACAAAATAGAACACAGTGTTTCCAAAACATTTTCCCGAAAAAAAATCCATTAGGTTATTACGATTTCAACAATATTCTTAGTTTAAGACGTTTTGCTAGTATAAAACACAAATAAAGAATTAATTCTTAGTTAAACAAAATATGTAAAATCATCTAAATATGTACCAAAAATATTCACCTAGTCGTTATAAAAACCGACTAAACAACTATTTCCCGCAGAAATTATAGTCTAAACCAACCAAGTTGCTTTTGAACGCTTAGAATCGATAATGGCCTGAGCGCGCTTTGGTCTGTAGATCAAACAAGTTCTCAGGCGACAAGTTGTAGTGAAACCAGTTTTTTTATTGGCATCGACTATTTAAATTTGGCGCTTGCCTTTGGCGGTTGAGGACTCCAATGTCAATAAGGGTGGTTTTGCAAAATCAGATTGTATGTCGCATCTATATTAATCTATACTGAGATGCCGCCAAAGGTACAGCCCTTTGCAGCAAAAAATCGTAAATAGCAATGAACAATCGATCCTGGCATCACCGCACATTTTAGAATTTTTTATTTCGGGATGTAATTTGCCAAATAATATAAAAAATCTTGACGAAGCGGGCCCGTGTTCCAGCGAACACATGGAACACCGGTAGTTACGCCACTGCACTTAAGTATAAGCATCTAGAAATGTTGACGATTAAGCTCGTGTTAGAACCAGTTAATGATTAAAATCCTAACATGAACTGTGAATTTACAAAGAATAAAACAAATTTACACTCGTGTTAACGTCGGTCGAAAATTTACATGTTTCCGATTGGAAAAAACCGCAAGAATTAGTCCGCGCGTTGGGGTAACTGTGGCGTCGATTAATTTTCGTTAAACAAAGGCTTCCTCCCTTTTATTAACTACCAAACCAACTAAACTTAACCTAAATCTAAACGTTTTACAAATACGGAGCACTCGATTCTGATTGGTTGAAATGTGAAACGGTGGTATAAATCAGGAAGTTTTATCGGATCACGTCATCATGTCTTCCTATTATTTTTTTGTTTTATGCCATCTGTCATTTAATATATTTACATTTTTACCATATTTTAGTGCCGATTTTGGCGTTTTTTTTTAAATTGAATAACAGTTTGGCTGAATTAATTGTATTGTGATCATGGAAGGACGTAAGTTAATCTACACAATTAGGTCTTGTGTTAATGGGTGTTGCAGTGAATCATACTGGACAGGAGGAATACATTTGGGCCATGCGTGCAAGCCTATATCGAGAATCTGATGTGGAACTCTGGAAAGACCGAAAACGTCATGATAATTCACGTTCAGCAGTAAACGTAGCATCGCGAACCAAAAGTTTATTGGAGACAACAACTTACCAGACGAAAATTATGGCATCACTGGTCCCAGATGAAGTTATTCATAACGTAGAGGACTATAGTCATAGACAATATGAAGCTTGTTTCCTCTTCGGTGACGTTTCTGGTAGGGATCAGTTTTGTATGACAGTCATAATTTATTTTGCACCCAAGGATTTACCGAGTTATGCGAAAAATACACCAAGACTGGAGTTTCTGGTCCTTCGAGAATGACGCAAGTACTGAACAAGTATTTGGGTGCTATGGTACAAGAAGTGTTGTCTTATAACGGAGACATTTTGAAATTTTCGGGAGACGCATTTTTGGCCGTGTTTAAATCATCAGAGGATACTACCATGCGTGATTCTGTTCATGAAGCTTTAGACTGTGCTTTAGTTATCCAGAAAAGCTATGGATCGTACTTAACGGATGTTAATGTTGTAATTCGAGGTAAAACTATCGTTAGATACAGATCTGAGTCCAGTGCAATCTATAGTTATAATATTTATTGTAGTGAAACTAGCGATCTCTGCTGGTCTGGTAACCTTCGCGTTGATCGGAGAACCAAGCACGTGCCACTACGTGGTAGTAGGGAAGCCCATATGGGACGTTAAAGCTGCTGAACACATCAGCAGCGCCGGCGACATAATAGTAGCCCCAGCTGCCTGGCACTACGTTAATCCTGGCGAATATATCCACAAAGAAATGCCAGACCGTGTTCATATGAAGATTGTGGGCATAGGTCCGAACTGGCGCAGCGTCCAAAAGAACGTCCGTCAGCAAAAAACAAAAGAACAGATGGCAGAGGATGTATTCAGTCTGGAACTGTCAAGTGAAAGCCTGGATCAAATCGAGGAGAAACGGGTTCTAGGAGCCATGGCTGGGGAAGAATTTTCTCGTAGGTCTGCTCTAATTTTTAACGAAGAATTTTATCAAAGGTGTCAACAGTGAGACCAGCTGTGAATTTAGCCGTGAGGCTAAAGATTAGAGAGCTCTTGAGAGGCTTCATCATAGCACCAGTTATGAAGAGCATAGATATGAACGAACCGTTGGAGTACTTGAGCGAAATGCGACAAGCCGTTATTGTTTTCATCAACGTGGTGTCGCATAAAATTAACACTACCGACACGGTTATTCTGGCGGACCGGGCCTACAAAACAGTATGCAGGTTAGAAAATGGATAAGTTGTAAATTATATTACAATATTTTATATGAATCAAATTTTACAAAGTCGTATCTAGATTTTAAACTTGAGGGGTTAAGGCACTCCGGCAGTGGCGTAACTACCGGTGTTCCATGTGTTTGCTGGAACACGGACCCGCTTCGTCAAGGGGCCCGATCCGGTCACACGAAATTTTTTTTATTGGATTTTTTATATTATTTGGCAAATTACATCCCGAAATAAAAAACTCGAAAATGTGCGGTGATGGCAGGATCGATCGTTCATTGCTATTTACGATTTTTTGCTGCAAAGGGCTTGAGCTCTGGCGGCATCTCAGTATAGATTAATATAGATGCGACATACAGTCTGATTTTGCAAAACCACCCTTATTGAGCTTATTGGAGTCCTCAACCGCCAAAGGCAAGCGCCAAATTTAAATAGTCGATGCCAATAAAAAAACTTGTTTCACTACAACTTGTCGCCTGAGAACTTGTTTGACCTACAGTCCAAAGCGCGCTCAGGCCATTATCGATTCTAAGCGTCAGAAGCAACTTGGTTGGTTTAGACTATAATTTCTGCGGGAAATAGTTGTTTAGTCGGTTTTTATAACGACTAGGTGAATATTTTTGGTACATATTTAGATGATTTTACATATTTTGTTTAACTAAGAATTAATTCTTTATTTGTGTTTTATACTAGCAAAACGTCTTAAACTAAGAATATTGTTGAAATCGTAATAACCCAATGGATTTTTTTCGGGAAAATGTTTTGGAAACACTGTGTTCTATTTTGTATGAATTTTTAAATGTTTTTAGTGACAATTTTTGTAGTTGTTTTCAATACACTGTATGTTATTGACAGTGAGAAAAAAAAATGAAAAATTAAAATAATCGAAAATTTGAAAAATCGAGAAATCTAATAATCGAAAAATCGAAACCTTAAAAAATCGTAAAACCGAAACATTGAAAAATCGAAATATCGAAGAACTGAAAATCGAAAAATGAAACATCAGAAAATCGAAACAATGTAAAATTCAAAAATCTAAAATTTAAAAATCGAATAACGAAAAATTGACAAATCGAAACTCCCAAATTTAAAAAGTCGGATAACTGAAAGATCGAAACATCGAAAAACTGGAAAATCGAAAACCTGAACAATCAAATGTCGATAAATCGGGAATGAAAAATTAACAAATCGAAAAATTGAAAAAAAGAACATAGACTTCCTGGTTAGTCGAAAAATCGAAAGACTAAGAAATATTGAAAAACTAAAATATCAAAAGATTGAACAATCTAAAATTTGAAACTCCAAAATTGAAAAATCGAAAAAGTAAAACGCATCGAAAAGTCCACAAGTCAAAAATAGAAAAACCGAAGAATTGAAATATTGAAAAATCCCAAAACTGAAATATCTAAAAACTGAAAAATCGAAAAATCAAAAAAATGAAGTCGAAAAATAGAAACCTTAAAAAATCGAAAAATTGAAAAATCAAAAACCTGAAAAATTAAAAAATTAAAGAATTGAAGAACAGAAAAATCGAAACACTCGAAGGTCAAGAAATGGGAAAATCAAAACATCGATTAATTGAAAAATCTAAAAATTGGGAGTTTATAAAAGTCAAATTTGAAAAATTAAAAAATCGAAAATTTGACAAAATGACATGTGAAAAACAGAAAATCTAAAACCGCGAATTCGAAAAATCAAAAGATTAAGAAATCGAAACATTTGAAAAATTCGAAAAGTTGAAAAATTGAAATATCGAAGAACTGAAATGAAAAATCGAGAAATCGAAAAATCTAAAATTTTAAAAATTAAAAAATTTAAAATTTAAAAATCGGAAAATTGAAAAATCGAAAAAGTAAAAAAGTCGACACATCGAAAAATCCAGGAGTCAAAAATTGAAAAGTGGAAGAATCAAAATATTGAAAAATACCAAAACTGCGATATCGACAAACTGAAAAATGAGAAAACCTGAAAAATCCGAAAACTGAAATATCCAAAAACTGAGAACCTAAAAAGTCAAAAAATTGAGCAATCGAAAAATCCATGAAGTGAAGTCGAAACCTTAAAAAATCGAAAAATTGAAAGATCAAAAACCTGAAAAATCGAAAAATTAAAGAATTGAAGAACAGGAAAATCGAAACACTCGAATATCAAGAAATGGGAAAATCAAAACATCGATTAATTGAAAAATTGAAAAATTGAGGGTTTATAAAAGTCAAATTTGAAAAATTAAAAAATCGAAAATTTGACAAAATTACAATTGAAAAACAGAAAATCTAAAACCGGGTAGTCGAAAAATCAAAAGATTAAAACGTTTGAAAAATTCGAAAACTTGAAAAATTGAAATATCGCAGAACTGAAATGAAAATTCGAGAAATCGAAAAATCTAGAACTTTAAAAATTAAAAAATCTAAAATTTAAAAATCGAAAAATTGAAAAATCGAAAAAGTAAAAAAATCGACACGTAAAATCCAGGAGTCAAAAATCGAAAAGTCGAAGAATCAAAATATTGAAGAATCCCAAAACTGAGATATCGAAAAACTGAAAAATGGGAAAACCTGAAAAATCCGAAAACGGAAATATCCAAAAACTGAGAACCTAAAAAGTCAAAAAATTGAGCAATCGAAAAATCCATAAAGTGAAGTCGAAAAATCGAAACCTTAAAAAAAATAAAAATGAAAAATCAAAAACTTGAAAAATCGAAAAATTAAAGAATTGAACAGGAATATCGAAACCCTCGATAGTCAAGAAATGGGAAAATCAAAACATCGATTAATTGAAAAATCGAAAAATTAACAGTTTATAAACCCCAAATTTGAAAAATTGAAAAATCGAAAATTTGAAAAAACGACAATTGAAAAACAGAAAATCTAAAACCGGAAAGTCGAAAAATCGAAAGATTAAGAAAACGAAACATTTGAAAAATTGAAATATGGAAGAGCTAAAATGATAAATGGAGAAATAGAAAAATCTAAAATTTTAAATATTGAAAAATTAAAATTAAAAAAAAATGAGAAATCTAAAATTTAAAAATCGAAAAAGTAAAAAGTCGACACATCGAAAAATCCAGAAGTCAAAAATAGAAAGTCGAAGAACAGAAATATTAAAAAATCCCAAAACTGAAATACCGAAAAACTGAAAAATGAAAGAAAAACTGACGAATCAAAAAACTGAAAAATCCCAAAACTGAAATATCCAAAAACTGAGAATCTATAGAATCGAAAAATTGAAAAATCAAAAATCTGCGTAATCGTAAGATCGAAAAATTGAATAATAAGTGAACTGAAAAATCCTAAAACTAAAATGTCGAAAAACTGAGAAATTAAGAAATTGAAAAATTGAGAAATCGAAAAATCAAAAAAGTGAAGTTGAAAAATCGAAACCTGAAAAAATAGAAAAATTGGAAAACCAAAAAACCTGAAAAATCAATTAATTGAAAAATCGACAAATAAAGAGTTTATAAAAGTCTAAAATTGAAAAATCGAAATATTTAAAAATCGTAAAATTGAAGAGAAAAACTGAAAACCGAGAACTTGAAAAATTGAGAAATTAAAAATTAAATAATAAATAGGAGTAAACTGAAAAGTCCCCAAACTAAAATTTCGAAAAACTGAGAATTCGAAAGTTGAAACAGCAAGAAATTATGGTCGGAACCGGTTAGGATGTGTATCAGATCACGATCACGGCTTATAAATCAAATCGTTTCCGAACGCTTAGAGTCGACATTGGCCTGAGTGCACTGTGGTCTTTAGATCAAACAAGTTCTCATACGACGAACTGTAATTCATGTGACCTGAATTACAGTGAAGGAAACAGTAATCAGCTTGTAATATTCTGGTAAATCTAGTGTCAATTTGTCGAAACTAAAACGCGTCGTTAAAAATATTATTACATTTTTTCTAGTTAATTTTATTCCTAGTTAGAAACGAACACTGTTGCCAACATAAGTCGAGGAGTCCTCAACCGTCATTTAATTTAAACTATGACGCTTCTCTATGTTCTCTGATCTCAGTATCATAGTGCTCATTCACAATGGGCATAAAGCATAAGGATTTATGTTTAGTGCTCTATGGTTGTATTCGTCCACAATGAGCATAAGTGCTCATTCACAATGGGCATAAAACCTAAGGATGTCCTAGGCATTATGCTCATTGTGAACGAATAGAAGCATAGAGCACTAAAAAAAAATTCTTATGCATTAATGCTTATGACATCCTTATGCTTTATGCCCATTGTGAATGAGCACATAGACTCAATAAACTCGGGTTTTAGCGACCGGCACCGGGGCCAGAAACACAGCAGCATCTGTTTCTAATAAATCTGTCGCACTGTCGCAATTCCATTGTGGCAAATCTAACACCCCATTAAGTAAATTACCAATCTTTAGCCTACAAAATTATGATTAATTTATGATTCAGGACAACAAAATACTTAAATTTTGTCTTCAGATCTTCAGTGAAACTTTATGCTGTAAGACGTAAAAAAAAATTCAGTTTCAATTGTGTTTTATGAAAACTTTCGTATTTTCAAAACTATTTTAATATTGTGTGTGTGGTGCTTTTTTGGAATAATAAATTATATCTGATGTATGTTACAACTAATTTTTTAAGTAGAAAAAACACTGGACCACTAAATTATTACAGAGTGAGTACCTAGTACCTGCACTAGTTTCAGTGAAATTATCACAACATGTTTCACTTTTCTTACAATAGGTAGTACATCGTTCGCTGGCTTCAGCGGAAAGATCTTTTTCGAAACTAAAAATGACTAAATTTTTTTTAAGTAACACAATGGGCCAATGCAGATTATCTTCACGGGCTTATTATCTCACTTGAAAATCATATTGCCAGAAGCTTAGATGTGTCAAATCTTGTATCAACTTGTGCCCATTGGAAAGCAAGAAAAAAACAATTTTGGGATAAAAAAACGGGCATTTTTATTTCTAATATACATTTTAATTATATGTATTTAGGTAGTTATTATAGGTATTTAGTTTTTTAATTCAGTGTTTCAGGTAGAATGATTTTAATAAAACGTAAGCCCTAATTCAATATACTCATACTTTACTCATTATACTCGTATTTTTAAATAATTTTTATTTCGCTGTTCATTAGGGGCCCCACAGTGTTGTGGAACACAGGCCCGTAGATTTATTGTTACGCCACTGCACTCCGGGTACCAGAATTTCACTCACTAATAAATCATTTCAGAGTTGTCCATCAAATGAACGGCTGTGTCAATAAAGTTTCCTTGTTCGACAAAGATTTAATGTTCGTGGTAATTTTTGGTTTAAGAGGTTTAAAGAACGAACTGGAGTGTCAAGTAGCCTTGCGATGTGCACGAGAATGCCATCAAGCCATCAGTGAATTTGAAAACGTTGCTTCAACGTCCGTTGGAGTCACTACCGGTGATCTAAATTTGTCACGTCGTCACAAATTTCAGACTCATTTATTTCTAGGTAAAACTTATTGCGGGGTTTTTGGGCACACCCTCCGAAGAGAGTATACCGTAATTAGCCTTATAGTAAACAAAGCAGCTCGATTAATGGTGGCTTACAGCGGCAAAGTCACCTGCGACAGAGAGACTTTCCTCCACAGTAAACTAGAAGCGAAACATTTCGTCTTACAAGAACCGAAACCGTTAAAAGGGATCTCTCATCCGGGCCCTGTTTACGAATTTAGAGAACTCGAAGAGTAACGTAGTTCGACAAGTGCGACTAGATAATTTTTGTTTTTGCTTCCAGAGACCACGGTGTACTTCACAGAGTCAACCCACGTCCACTGCTTGGAAGGGCAGAAAATTTAAAAATTTACAAACAATTGTTGGAGAGGTTTCAGTCCACCACAACGGTAGACGAGCAGCAGTACAAAATGCTGCTGATTAGAGGTGAAGCGCGTCAGGGTAAAACGCGACTTCTGGACGAACTCGTCTACATTACGCCAGAAGAAATCTTAATCAGTCGATTTACATTAACGCCAAAGGATCGCAAGGTTGTTATGTCGTTCGAGATGAACGCGTTCGACTTTCATATTTTGCGCTAGGTCCCCTTTCAAACCGTAAGGTTGATCTTTAATCAACCTATGGCGACCACTGTGGACTCTACAATTAAGATAAAACAAGCTAAAATTTTAGAAAAGTTGAGCAACATTAAAAATCCTGACTTACTGTGTGTGTTGAACCAAGTGTTTGGTGTCAACTTTCCAAATTCGCAGCTGTTTATGCAGCTGTCGGAGCAGGAAAAGCTGACGGCCCGGAGAACGGTTATCAACTGGTTGTGTCTCGAGGTATATATTTTACGTCAGAGTTTGCTACCAAAAAGGCACTAACGTCTTAAATACCTTTTGTTTTTGCGGAACAACAGCATTAAAACTGAAATTAAATTTTGTAGTGTTTTCCCACACTGTGGGTCGTTGCTATCGACAACTGTGACTACATAGATGAAGAATCGTGGCACATTTTTGACATTTTTTTTGAAATACGGACCCTTTTTATTGTTGCGACAGCCAGTCGCGATAAGCTTGCACATGCTGAAATTTGCGAAAAAGTGTTAAGTGACGATCCTCGAATTAAGACGATCTACCTCAAACCGGTCGAAAAATGGTACTTGGGAGCCCTCGCTTGTCAAATTTTGGACGTTTATGCGATTTCTCCAGAACTAGAAAAGTCAACATTTTGTATAAAAATTGCTTCTTATTTCCGTTTTATTTACAGTGCTATTCAAGTTAAAAGTAATGGAAATCCTGGATGGATAGAAAGCTTCTTAATCAGTCTGATTCAGGACGAAGGATTGTACATCCTTCAAGCTCATATGAGTTATATTACTGATCTTGGACTGGTGGCGCCTCCGCTTTATTTAATGGCTAGGTACTTTAGTTACTGTTGTATTTAAATCCTTAACGGGAATCCACAGGTTAACCGAAGAGGAGGCCTTTAAATGGCAACATATAATGGAAGAAAGGAAACGTCCGGGAGAGTCTGAAATCGATCAAAGTTGGCAGAAATACATTGATTGTTGCCGAGTAATCCCAAAAAATCAAAAATCTCTATATCTTGTTGTATCGCCACTTTTCTTTTAGGACAGTTACATGAATGTGTCAATAAGAGAGCTCCTGGAGCACATTTCGTTAGGTGGTAGAATACCCATCTGTGTAATCTCCCCCAATTTCCACGTAGGAGACGAAGAAGCCGAACTTTCTATGGACGCCATGATTTTGAAAACATTCGACTCTTTAAATTTCTTCGAACAGTTGCTGGTTAAATGCAGCGCTATACTGGGACTTCAGTTCCTCAGAGACATGTTGCTATACGTTATGAACGCAACTGACAAACGAAAAACTGCTTTAGGTATATCTTGACATTTGCACTTCTTCACCAACTTGCAATCCGTAGCTGTACAAAAATTGTTTGAAATTCGAGTACTGACCTGCGCGAAGGGTGATTTTCTGGAAGGAACTGGAACTCTTTTCAAAGAGAAGCTTATTCATCCTAATGAAGAAGCAGGGTTACAATGTAGATGCAGAGGTGTTAAAATTGATGGTAAATTGTGGTGTTTTGATGAACACGTTTTATGCAAAAGTTTTCGTAGAGACTTGCTACGATCTTCCTAAATACGCGTCCTGTGGACTTTTGCAGTTTAGATTCCCCCAGTTTCGCGAAATTACTTACAACTTGTTGACGGATAACCAAAAGAAAGAGTTTCATCACAGGGCTATACGGTACCTGGAAAAGGAAACAAGGAAATGTAAAGCTTGCGGAGGTGGTTTTTTCGAGAGGATTTTGGGAGGAGACAGAATCGACAAGGTGACAAAAAGCAATTTCGTCGACTATGTATTTTTATGTATTGTTTTATTAGGACATGGCCCTAACAAAGAAAAAAGTGAAACGAGATGAGGGTTCCTTCGACACGGCTAGTCTTACTGTTAGTCGCACTGATTCTCAATATAGCGGTACTTCAACAACGTACTCACTTGGAAGCGCAACAAAAAGCAGGAGAAGGGTTGCAGAAGACGGAAAATCTGTTGCTTCTTTTGCCAGTGTTAATATCGTTCACGAGAAAAAAAGTGGCTATTTTTATAACGACATACTTTTAATATTTTAAAAACTTCTTTACAGAAAAACGCGAGGCTACTTTTGGATTTGTAATGATAAAAAAACTGAAAGACAGCTACTCTTTAACGAAGACGTTTTCTTCAGAAGATTTTACTGATTGTCAGTGTTTGTTGATTTTGAGCACTACTTATTCACAGTTGATTGAACACTGCATTGGTGCAGGTGATATAAATAAAGTGATTAACGCGATGTTAGAATACTCCTATATCAGTATTACTTTGTGTAATCTCCCTCTGGCTCTACAAATCTTAGAAGAAGCAAAACATATTGTAAACAAAAAAGCTAAAGAGACGGTTGAGCATTCCTGGAAATACTCATTAATTCGTGGCAAAATATACACCCTCATAGGCTATGCACGTTTAGAGTTGGCCCAGTATCAAACAGCTTTTATTAACCTTCATAAATCTTTGGAAGAGTATGGAGTAAATTTCCCAACATCAAGAATCACCAGACACATAAAGACACGCTTGTTTGAATTCAAACAGCTATTTGGTTTCTATTTATTGCCCAATTCTCTGACGAAACGTTTAGATCACTGGGAAACCATTTTTGCTGGTAACCTTGCCGAATCTCTAAGTCATCTATGCAACTTATATTTGGTTGGTGCGAACACTATCTTAAACTGAACCTTAAAAGTTTCTTGTAGATAAAAAACCAATGGAAGAACGCAGAACTGGCGGCTACTTGGTGTCTGTCAAAATCTTTAGAAGCTTATAGTAGCTTCCAGCTGATGACTACAGCTTATGCTAACATGCTGCACATCGCTCAACACTTACGTAGGTGGAATATATGCATTGCGTTAGAAATACACGCTTTGAGGTTGTGCCGCACCAAGAAATCGACCGTTGATGCTGAAGATCTTAAATCTGTAGCTAAACTTTACAGTGCAATATTCTTTTCAAGAATGTTGCGCTCGTCTCTAGATAAAGCCATTCATATGGGCTATACGGTTCTTAGGATTTGCACTTCAGTTCGAGCGGTGAAGATAATTCTTCCCGTGCTACCTCTTTTCCTACACGCTCTTTTAATAGGCAGCCATTTCAGTAACGCACTTTCAATGATGCAAGAACTTGAATATTTTGCCAACGAGGACAGTGACAGCACGGGTTTTTTTCAAAAACATTGTCAACTTCCAAAATTGCTCAGTTGTTTTAGGAAAAGTTTGGTACCTCGCTTTGTGTGTTGGTATACAGCTTGAGACGGGATACTCAGTTATTCCTTACCACATCTGCGAAACATATTATCAAATGGAGGGCGACCGCTGGATAACGATAAGAGATCCCGACGCAAGGAGAAGATTTTACACGGTGATGTGGCTCTGGTAACCCAATTTTTCTTTCATATCACCCGAAGAAAATGTATTTATTTTGAAAAGGTGCGTCCGAAATGAAAAGTGGGAACAAGCTGCAACGTGGTGTTTGAAAACCCAGGACTTCAGGATTATTACCGAAAACGATTCATTGGCTAACAAAGTGACGGCTCTTTATCTACTGGAAGGGATGATTATATTTCTGGTGGCAAAGTTAGATAAACGAAACATTAAAGCAGTTATTAGAGCAGAGACCGACATTGAAATTTTAATCAAAGAACTCCAAAAAGCATCGAAGACGGCGAAATTCATTCTACCAAGGTGACTTTTTTTAACTGAAATAAGTATTTGTTTAGATAAGTGTCTGTTCAAGGCTTTATCATTTAAAAGCATATTACAAGTTTGTTAAATATTTTCACCTCAGGGTAAGCTCTTTGTTGAAAAGACCACACAAACTTGCAACTAAATATGGACATCAGTTGGAAGTATCTTGGTTGGAACATTCGGGGAAAGTAAGTCTTGAAACTACTACTAGCAATAATATAAAATCAGTATATTTATATTAAAATTTCTTGTGGAAACACTTTTGTCTAGTTTTGGTGCACAATTTTACAGTTAATGCTGTTGATGTGTCTTTTTAAGGCATGGCAGCGAACCCTACCACCATTAACCGTCCAAATGTGGAGAGATCATTCTGAAGCTGGAAATCTGCTTGAATTTCAAGAGATTGAAACTGAGCAAAAATTAGTTTTTTTTACTCTTCCTGTTCCGATATACATTTAGAGAAATAAAATCATGTATCTAAACATTCTAACGTTTGGTTGTAGTTTATTATTAAAATATACGTGATATAGTACTTTTTTCACACGACAAAGTTACAACCACTATTTTTAAAACGATAGCTAAGTGAAGTAATATTTTTTCACGTTTATTCACTGGGGTTTCGAAGTTGTGCAGGTTTCCATTTTCCGCCCGTTTGTCCTTTGTTGTCGTCAGAGACCCTTTATGTCTAGTTTTTGAAGTAGTTTGAAAGAATCTCGGGCGCCTATTGCGTCTGGTTTTTGAAGAAGTTTATAAGAAGAATATCCTGTGTCTGGTTTTTGAAGTACATAGTTTGAAAGAATCTCGGGGATCTCTTATGTCCAGTTTTTGAGATAATTTGAAAGAATCTCCAAGACTCCTTTTGTTTTGTTTTTAAAGTCGTTTGAAAGAATCTCAGTGATCTCTTGTGTCTAGTTTTTGAAATAATTTAAAACAACCTCCAGGACCCTTTTCGTTATATTTTTAAGTAGTTTGAAAGAATCTCGGGAATCATTTGTATGTAGTTTTTAAAGTACATAATTTGAGAAAATGTGAGAGACTACTTCTATCTGATTTTTGAAGTAGTTTGAAAAAATCTCAGAGACCCCTTTTGTTTGATTTTTGAAGTCATTTGAAAGAATCTTGAGGATCTCTTGTCTTCTTTTTGAAGTTGCTTGAAATAATCTCGGGTACCCATTGTGTTTTGTTTTTGAAGTCGTTTTAAAGAATCTACGGGATCCCTTGTGTGTGGTTTTTGAGGTAGTTTGAAAGTCTCAGCGACTCCTTTTGTTTTGTTTTTGAAATAGTTTGAAAGAAACTTGGGGATCTCTTATGTCTAGTTTTTGAGATAATTTGAAAGAATCTCCAGTACCTCTTTTGTTATATTTTTGAAGTAGTTTGAAAGAATCTCGGGGATTTTTTGTGTCTAGTTTTTGAAGTAGTTTGAAAGAATCTCGAAGATCTCATATTTCTAGTTTTTGAGATAATTTGAAAGAATCTCCAGGACCACTTTTGTTATATTTTTGATGTAGTTTGAAAGAGTCTCACGGACACCTTTTGTTTTGTTTTCGAAATGGTTTGAAAGAATCTCGATGACCTTTCGTGTCTGGGTTTTGAAGAAATTTGAAAGAATCTCGGGGACCTCTTGTGTCTAGTTTTTGAAGTAGTTTGAAACAATCTCCCGAATCTCCTGTGCCTGGTTTTTGAAGTAGTTTGAAAGAGTCTCGGGGATTCCTTATGTTTTGTTTTTGAAGTAGTTTGAAACAATCTCGGAGATCCCTTTTGTTTGGTATTTGAAGTAGTTTGAAAGAATCTTGGGGATTCCTTGTATTCTTTTTGAAATTGCTTGAAAGAATCCCGGAGACGTCCCGCGTTTTTTTTTTTTTAAGTCGTTTGAAAGAATCTCTGGCATCCCTTGTGTGTGGTTTTTGAAGTAATTTGAGAGAATCTCCCGGATGTCCTGTATCTGGTTTCTGAAGTAGTTTGAAAGAATCTCGGAGATCTCTTGAGTCTAGTTTTTGAAATAATTTGAAAGAATTACCAGGACGCTTCTGTTATATTTTTTAAGTAGTTTGAAAGAATTTTTCGAATCTCTTGTGTCTGGTTTTTGAAGTAGTTTGAAAGAATCTCCGGGAGCTCGTGTGTCTGGTTTTTGAAGTAGTTTGAAAGAATCTCGGGGATCTCTTATGTCTAGTTTTTGAGATAATTTGAAACAATCTCCAGGACCCCTGTTGTTATATTTTTGAAGTATTTTGAAAGAATCTCGGGGATTCCTTGTGTCTGGTTTTTGAAGTAATTTGAAACAATTTCGGAGACCACTTTTGTTTTGTTTTTGAAGCAGTTTGAAAGAATCACGGGGATATTTTGTGTCTGATTTTTGAAGAAATTTAAAAGAATCTCGGGTACCTATTTTTTCTGGCTTTTGAAGTAGTTTGAAAGAATCTCAGGGATCTCATATGTGTAGTTTTGAAGTAGTTTGAGAGATTCTCAGGGACTCCTTCTATTTGGTTTTTGAAGTATTTAGTATTTAGTATTTAGTATTTAGTATTTAGTATTTATTACGCCAAAAAAAAGGCAATACAAAATAGCAGTTACAAGTACAATATTACAAAAATTAATTACACAATACAATTTTACGACATTCGAAATAGTTTGAAAGAATCTCGGAGACCCCTTTTATTTGGTTTCTGAAGGAGTTTGAAAGAATCTTGAGGATCTTTTGTCGTCTTTTTGAAGTTGCTTGAAAGAAACTCAGGGACCCGTTGTGTTTTGTTTTTAAAGTCGTTTGAAAGAATTTCTGGCATCCCTTGTGTGTGGTTTTTGAAGTAATTTGATAGAATCTCGGAAACCACTTGTGTTTTGTTTTTGAAGTAGTTTGAAAGAAACTCGGGGATATTTTGTGTCTGGTTTTTGTAGAAATTTGAAAGAATCTCGGGGACCTCTTGTGTCTAGTTTTTGAAGTAGTTTAAAAAAATCTCGGGCACCTATTTTGTCTGGTTTTTTGAAGTAGTTTGAAAGAATCTCGATGATTCCTTGTATCTGGTTTTGAAGTAATTTGAAAGAATCTCGAAGACCACTTTTGTTTTGTTTTTGAAGTAGTTTGAAAGAATCTCGGTGATATTTTGTGTTTGGTTTTTGAAGAAAGTTGAAAGAATTTCGGGAACCTATTTTTTCTGGTTTTTAAAGTAATTTGAAAGAATCTTGATGATCTTTTGCCTTCTTTTTGAAGTTGCTTGAAAAAAACTCGGGGACCCGTTGTGTTTTGTTTTTAAAGTCGTTTGAAAGAATCTCCGGAATCCCGTTTGTGTGGTTTTTGAGGTAGTTTTACAGAGTATCAGCGACTCCTTTTGTTTTGTTTTTAAAGTAGTTTGAAAAAATCTCAGGGATCTCTTATGTCTAGTTTTTGAGATAATTTGAAGGAATCTGCAGGACCACTTTTGTTATATTTTTGAAGTAGTTTGAAAGATTCTCGGAGACCCCTTTTGTTTGGTTTTTGAAGTAGTTTGAAAGAATCTCCGGAATCTCCTGTGTCTGCTTTTTGAAGTAGTTTCAAAGAGTCTCGGGGATTTCTTTTGTTTTGTTTTTTAAATAGTTTGAAAGATTCTTGAGAATCCTTTGCCTTCTTTTTGAAGTTGCTTGAAAAAATCTCAGGGACTCGTTGTGTTTTGTTTTTAAAGTCATTTGAAAAAATCTCCGGGATCCCTTGGATGTGTTTTTTGAGGTAGTTTGAAAGAATTTCAAGTATTTTTTGGGTCTGGTTTTTGAAGAAATTTGAAAGAATCTCAGGGACCTCTTGGGTCTGGTTTTTGAAGTAATTTGAAAGAGTCTCGAAGACCACTTTTGTTTTGTTTTTGAAGTAGTTTGAAAGAATCTCGGTGATATTTTGTGTTTGGTTTTTGAAGAAAGTTGAAAGAATTTCGGGCATCTATTTTTTCTGGTTTTTAAAGTAGTTTGAAAGAATCTTGAGGATCTTTTGCCTTCTTTTTGAAGTTGCTTGAAAAAAACTTGGGGACCCGTTGTGTTTTGTTTTTAAAGTCGTTTGAAAGAATCTCCGGGATCCCGTTTGTGTGGTTTTTGAGGTAGTTTTAAAGAGTCTCAGCGACTCCTTTTGTTTTGTTTTTAAAGTAGTTTGAAAAAATCTCGGGGATCTCTTATGTCTAGTTTTTGAGATAATTTGAAAGAATCTCCAGGACCCCATTTGTTATATTTTTTAAGTAGTTTGAAAGATTCTCGGAGACCCCTTTTGTTTGGTTTTTGAAGTAGTTTGAAAGAATCTCGAGGACCTTTTGTGTCTGGTTTATGAAGAAATTGTGTCTAGTTTTTGAAGTAGTTTGAAAGAATCTCCGGAATTTCCTGTGTCTGCTTTTTGAAGTAGTTTCAAAGAGTCTCGAGGATTCCTTTTGTTTTGTTTTTGAAATAGTTTGAAATATTCTTGAGAATTCTTTGCCTTCTTTTTGAAGTTGTTTGAAAAAATCTCAGGGACCCGTTGTGTTTTGTTTTTAAAGTCATTTGAAAGAATCTCCGGGATCCCTTGGATGTGTTTTTGAGGTAGTTTGAAAGGGTCTCAGGGACTTCTTTTGTTTGTTTTTGAAGTAGCTTGAAAGAATTCCAAATATTTTTTTGGTCTGGTTTTTGAAGAAATTTGAAAGAATCTCAGGGACCTTTTGGGTCTAGTTTTTGAAGTAGTTTGAAAGAGTCTCGGGCACCTGTTGTGTCTGGTTTTTGAAGAAGTTTGAAAGAATCTCGAGGTTCTCTTGTGTCTAGTTTTTGAAATATGTATGTAGTTTGAAAGAATGTGGGGCATCTATAGTGTCTGGTTTTTGAAAAAGTTTGTAAGAATCTCCAGAATCTCCTGAGTCTGGTTTTTGAAGTAGTTTTAAAGAATCGCGGGGAGCTTTTGTGTCTAATTTTTGAAGTAGTTTGGGAGAATCTCAGGGACTCCTTCTATCTGGTTTTTGAAGTAGTTTGAAAGAATCTCGGGGGTCTCTTTTGTCTAGATTCTAAAAAATTTTGAAAGAATCTCCAGGACCCCTTTCGTTATATTTTTGAAGTAGTTGAAAGAACTTCGGGAATCTCTTGTGTCCACTTTTTGAAGTAGTTTGAGAGAATTTCAGAGACCCCTTTTATTTGGTTTTTGAAGTAGTGTGAAAGAATCTTTGGAATCCCTCTGATTTTGTTTTTGAAGCAGTTAGAAAGAATCTCGGGGATCCCTTGTCTTGTTTTTAAGTATTCTCGTGATCACGGGCGAATGTGACTTATTGAACCCTCTGCCCTTGTTTGCAAATAAGTCTCACTGAAAAACAAATGAAATTTTTGGCAGCATATATCGATGATATTTTATTTATTAATCACTACGGATACATATTTATCGCAGATTTTTTGACATACTTTTAATTTTACCAATTTTACTTTTTTATACAATATTTAATTTTTCACCTTTATATTTAAAAAAAAAAACTCATTCAAGATGATGGAAGGATGTACGTTTCGCTTACCAATCACTGAAGTATCATAAAAATAAACATTTTAGTGAATATGTTGGGGCAGGAGGAGTACATATGGGCTATGAAAGAGTGTAGTCACAGGGATGAAACGGAAGCTCAGAAAGCACGAGAATCCAAATACTCTGCACATGTGCAGCTGCTAATAAAAAAATCCAAATATTCAATGGGTGTGGAAAATCAGACTAAAGTGGTGGCTTCTCTCGTTCCTGACGAAGTAATTTATCACATAAACGACTACAGGCGCAAGAAATACGACGCTTGTTTTCTTTTTGGCGATGTTTCTGGTACTCGCAGTAGTTCTTCTGACTTTTGCTTTTTGACAAGGTTTTCTCAAGGTTTTACAGAACTGTGCGAAAAATATAGCACCATGGGGACTTCCGGAACATCGAGAATGACTCAAACCTTGAACAAATACCTCGGTTCGATGGTCCAAGAAGTGTTGTGTCATGACGGTGACATCTTGAAGTTTTCTGGCGACGCTTTCATCGCTAGTTTTAAATGCACCGAAAGTGAGAGTATGCGGGATGCCGTACATGGAGCAATGGATTGTGCTTTAGTCATCCAGAAAAACTATGGGTCTTACTTAACGGATATGGGAGTAGTGATCCGAGGTATGAATGCAGCAGCGGTTTGTACCTAACCCAAAACTAATTTGAATCCGTTTGTGAAAAGTAAAACTGGCGATTTCTGCCGGTCCTGCGGTCTTCGGTCTCATTGGAAATAAGAACAACACCCACTACGTGGTGGTGGGACAACCCATCCGGGAAGTTAAAGCGGCAGAACACATAAGCAGTGCAGGAGATATCATGGTGACAACAGCCGCTTATAAACACGTTAACGCCAACGAATACATCGTCGAAGCGACAGGTGATAACATTCACGTCAAGCTTATCGGCGTTGGACATAACTGGCGCAGTATTCAAAAAAATATACATCAACAGAGAGTCGACCAAGCACAAGATTACTTCAGCTTGGGCTCGGACTCTTCAGACTCCGACTCTTTAAGCGAGACACAAGAAATCGACGAATATACTCGTATGTTGAAACTACCAGCTGCACCACTCTTCATATTAAAATTTTTAGTGAGACCTGCCGTGAACACAGCAGTTCAACAAAAAATGAAAGAAGCTTTAAAACGGTACATCATAGCTCCCGTCATGAAAACTATAACGATGAACGAGCCTTTGGAATTTTTATGCGAAATGAGACAAGCTACCACTGTATTTATTAACGTCGTTTCGTACCCTCTTCCTGACGAAAAAACAGTCATTTTGGCAAACGAAACGTATACAGCTGTGTGCAGGTTTAGTTTTAGACACTTCGTGTTTGTGGTACTAAAAATCTCTCATAGCGTGGTGGAAAAAAAGAACGGCTGCGTGAATAAAGTGTCATTTTTTGACAAGGACATGATGTTGGTGGTTATCTTTGGATTGCGGGGATTTAAGCACGAGTTAGAGTGTCAAATGGCTTTAAGGTGTGCCAGAGAATGCCATACAGCTATCAGCCATCTACCAGGGGTTGCATCTACCTCAATTGGAGTTACTACAGGTACAGTGCGCACTTTTCAAAATTTTGCTAGGTGCGGTTAATTTGAACTTGGCGGCTTTTTTACTGCGCAGAATCCAGTTCAAGGAAATTTCAAAAGCAGCGCCAAAATTAAATATTTTCAGGTAAAACGTACTGTGGTGTGTTCGGACACACTCTTCGTCGGGAATACACCGTAATCGGCCTCATTGTTAACAAAGCTGCCCGACTAATGATGGCATATAAGAATAAGGTTACGTGCGATAAAGCCACTTTCTTGCATAGCAAACTGGAGGCGAATAATTTTATCTTGCAAGATTACGTACCTTTGAAGGGAATTTCTCGTCCGGGACCAGTGTATGAGTTTGTGGAAGCGGACATGTAACACAACTAGAATCAATAATATCGACTGAATAACTATTAATTCTTCAGAGACCATGACGTTATTCAAAAGATTGATGCTTGCCCCTTACTCGGAAGAAACGACGAACTTAAACTCTATCACATGATGTTTGAAGCATGGAAAACAGGAACTAACCAAGGACGTTACAAAATGTTATTGGTTAAGAGTGAGTCCAGGCAAGGGAAAACGCGTCTTTTAGATGAGTTTGTCTACACAACACCTGACAAGACATCCGTGTATAAAATTACACTAACCAGGAAAGATAACAACGTAGGGGTAGTAGATTCAGTGGCGTAACTACCGGTGTTCCATGTGTTAGCGAAATTTTTTTTTTTTTGGATTTTTTATATTATTTGGCAAATTACATCCCGAAATAAAAAATTCGAAAATGTGCGGTGATGCCAGGATTGATCATTCATTGCTATTTACGATTTTTTGCTGCAAAGGGCTGGACCTCTGGCGGCATCTCAGTATAGATTAATATAGATGCGACATACAGTCTGATTTTGCAAAACCACCCTTATTGACATTGGAGTCCTCAACCGCCAAAGTCAAGCGCCAAATTTAAATAGTCGATGCCATTAAAAAAACTGATTTCACTACAACTTGTCGCCTGAGAACTTGTTTGATCTACAGCCCAAAGCGCGCTCAGGCCATTATCGACTCTAAGCGTTCAGAAGCAACTTGGTTGGTTTAGACCATAATTTCTGCGGGAAATAGTTGTTTGGTCGGTTTTTATAACGACTAGGTGAATATTTTTGGTACAGATTTAGATGATTTCACATATTTTGTTTAACTAAGAATTAATTCTTTATTTGTGTTTTATACTAGCAAAACGTCTTAAACTAAGAATATTGTTGAAATCGTAATAACTCAATGGATTTTTTTCGGGAAAATGTTTTGGAAACACTGTGTTCTATTTTGTATGAATTTTTAAATGTTTTTAGTGACAATTTTTGTAGTTGTTTTCAATACACTGTATGATATTGACAGTGAGAAAAAAAAATGAAAAATTAAAATAATCGAAAAATTGAAAAATCGAGAAATCTAATAATCGAAAAATCGAAACCTTAAAAAATCGTAAAACCGAAACATTGAAAAATCGAAAGATCGAAGAACTGAAAATCGAAAAATGAAACATCAGAAAATCGAAAAAATGTAAAATTCAAAAATCTAAAATTTAAAAATCGAATAACGAAAAATTGAGAAATCGAAACTCCCAAATTTAAAAAGTCGGATAACTGAAAGATCGAAACATCGAAAAACTGGAAAATCGAAAAACCGAGAAATCGAAAAATCAAAAGATCAAGAAATCATGGAGTCGAAAAGTCGAAGAATTGAGAAACAGAAATAGGCCAAAATCGAAAAATCGAAAAGTTAAAAATTGAACGATTTATAAATTGACAATCAAAATATCGGAAAATCCAAATCTCGATAAATCGAGAAATCAAAAAACTTAAAATTCGAAAAATTGAAAAATTGAGAGATTGAATGATCAAAAGAACGAGAAATCGAAAAGTGATGAAGTCGAAAAATTGAAAAATACAGAAATCGACAAACAAAAATTTAAAAGTTGAAAAATTGGAAAAGCGGAAAAATAAAAAAAAAACGAAAAATGGAAAACGGAAAAAATGAGAAACCGAAATAGGCCAAAATAAAAAATTGAAAAACTGATAAATCGAAAACCTGAACAATCAAATCTCGATAAATCGGGAATGAAAAATTAACAAATCGAAAAATTGAAAAACAGAACATCTAAAACCAGGAAGTCGAAAAATCGAAAGACTAAGAAATATTGAAAAACTAAAATATCAAAAGATTGAACAATCTAAAATTGAAAATCCAAAAATTGAAAAATCGAAAAAGTAAAACACATCGAAAAATCCAGAAGTCCAAAATAGAAAAACCGAAGAATTGAAATATTGAAAAATCCTAAAACTGAAATATCTAAAAACTAAAAAATCGAAAAATCAAAAAAATGAAGTCGAAAAATAGAAAAATCAAAAACCTGAAAAATCAAAAAATTAAAGAATTGAAGAACAGAAAAATCGAAACACTCGAAGGTCAAGAAATGCGAAAATGAAAACATCGATTAATTGAAAAATCTAAAAATTGGGAGTTTATAAAAGTGACATGTGAAAAACAAAAAATCTAAAACCGCGAATTCGAAAAATCAAAAGATTAAGAAATCGAAACATTTGAAAAATTCGAAAACTTGAAAAATTGAAATATCGAAGAACTGAAATGAAAAATCGAGAAATCGAAAAATCGAAAATTTTAAAAATTAAAAATCTAAAATTTAAAAATCGAAAAATTGAAAAATCGAAAAAGTAAAAAAATCGACACATCGTAAAATCCAGGAGTCAAAAATCGAAAAGTCGAAGAATCAAAATATTGAAAAATCCCAAAACTGAGATATCGAAAAACTGAAAAATGGGAAAACCTGAAAAATCCGAAAACTGAAATATCCAAAAACTGAGAACCTAAAAAGTCAAAAAATTGAGCAATCGAAAAATCCATAAAGTGAAGTCGAAAAATCGAAACCTTAAAAAAACTAAAAAATGAAAAATCGAAAACTTGAAAAATCGAAAAATTAAAGAATTGAACAGGAATATCGAAACCCTCCAAAGTCAAGAAATGGGAAAATCAAAACATCGATTAATTGAAAAATCGAAAAATTAACAGTTTATAAATGTCAAATTTGAAAAATTGAAAAATCGAAAATTTGAAAAAACGACAATTGAAAAACAGAAAATCTAAAACCGGAAAGTCGAAAAATCGAAAGATTAAGAAATCGAAACATTTGAAAAATTGAAATATGGAAGAGCTAAAATGAAAAATCGAGAAATAGAAGAATCTAAAATTTTAAATATTGAAAAATTAAAATTCAAAAAAATTGAGAAATCTAAAGTTTAAAAATCGAAAAAGTAAAAAGTCGACACATCGAAAAATCCAGAAGTCAAAAATAGAAAGTCGAAGAATAGAAATATTGAAAAATCCCAAAACTGAAATATCAAAAAACTGAAAAATGAAAGAAAAACTGACGAATCAAAAAACTGAAAAATTCCAAAACTGAAATATCCAAAAACTGAGAATCTAAGGAATCGAAAAATTGAAAAATCAAAAATCTGCGTAATCGTAAGATCGAAAAATTGAATAATAAGTGAACTGAAAAATCCTAAAACTGAAATGTCGAAAAACTGAGAAATTAAAAAATTGAAAAATTGAGAAATCGAAAAATCAAAAAAGTGAAGTTGAAAAACCAAAACCTGAAAAAATAGAAAAATTGAAAAACCAAAAAACCTGAAAAATCAATTAATTGAAAAATCGACAAATAAAGAGTTTATAAAAGTCAAAAATTGAAAAATCGAAATATTTAAAAATCGTAAAATTGAAGAGAAAAACTGAAAACCGAGAACTTGAAAAATTGAGAAATTAAAAAATAAATAATAAATAGGAGTAAACTGAAAAGTTTCCAAACTAAAATTTCGAAAGTTGAAACAGCAAGAAATTATGGTCGAAGCCAGCTAGGATGTATATCAGATCATGGACCATGGCTTATAAATCAAATCGTTTCCGAACGCTTAGAGTCGACATTGGCTTGAGTGCGCTCTGGTCTGTAGATCAAACAAGTTCTCAGACGACGAACTGTAATTCGTGTGACCTGAATTACAGTGAAGGAAACAGTAATCAGCTTGTAATATTCTGATAAATCTAGTGTTAATTTGTCGAAACTAAAACGCGTCGTTAAAAATATTATTACATTTTTTCTAGTTAATTTTATTCCTAGTTAGAAATGAATACTGTTGCCAACATAAGTCGAGGAGTCCTCAACCGTCATTTAATTTAAACTATGACGCTTCTCTATGTTCTCTGATCTCAGTATCATAGTGCTCATTCACAATGGGCATAAAGCCTAAGGATGTCCTAAGCATTATGCTCACTGTGAACGAATAGAAGCATAGAGCACTAAACAAAAAATTCTTATGCATTAATGCTTATGACATCCTTATGCTTTATGCCCATTGTGAATGAGCACATAGACTCAGTAAACTCGGGTTTTAGCGATCGGCACCGGCGGCCAGAAACGCAGTAGCATCTGTTTCTAATAAACCTGTCGCACTGTCGCAATCCCATTGTGGCAAATCTAACACCCCATTAAGTAAATTACCAATCTTTAGCCTACAATAGTATGACTAATTTATGATTCAGGACAACAAAATACTTAAATTTTGTCTTTAGATCTTCAGTGAAACTTTATGCTGTAAGACGTAAAAAAAAATTCAGTTTCAATTGTGTTTTATGAAAACTTTCGTATTTTCAAAACTATTTTAATATTGTGTCTGTGGTGCTTTTTGGGAATAATAAATTAAATCTGATGTATGTTACAACTAATTTTTTAAGTAGAAAAAACACTGGACCATTAAATTATTACAGAATGAGTACCTAGTACCTGCACTAGTTTCAGTGAAATTATCATAACATGTTTCACTTTTCTTACAATAGGTACATCGTTCGCTGGCTTCAGCGGAAAGATCTTTTTCGAAACTAAATATGACTAAATTTTTTTTAAGTAACACAATGGGCCAATGCAGATTATCTTCACTGGCTTATTATCTCACTTGAAAATCAAATTGCCAGAAGCTTAGATGTGTCAAATCTTGTATCAACTTGTGCCCATTGGAAAGCAAGAAAAAAACAATTTTGAGATAAAAAAACGGGTATTTTTATTTCTAATATACATTTTAATTATATGTATTTAGGTAGTTAATATATTTTGTTTTTTAATTCAGTGTTTCAGGTAGAATGATTTTAATAAAACGTAAGCCCTAATTGCAATATACTCATACTTTACTCATTATACTCGTATTTTTAAATAATTTTTATTTCGCTGTTCATTAGGGGCCCCACAGTGTTGTAGAACACAGGCCCGTAGATTTATTGTTACGCCACTGAGTAGATTTGTGCGTATATGTTTCAGTGTGGTTAATTTTTCAGAGACCATACAGAGCAATCGAATTAATATTTAGATTTCCGTTGAACCTGACTAAAGAGTCGACCACAAAAGACAAAGAAGGAAAGATATTGAAAAAGCTGCAGGCGTTAAAAGTCAACGATGTACTTTGTGCATTGAACGACGTATTTGGCGTTAATTTTAAAAAATCAGAATTTTACATGTCACTGAACGCCGGTGATAAATTGTCGGCGTTGCGGAAGTTGATTACGACTCTGGCTCGGGCTGTACGTGTTACTAAAACAATAATCATAAGCTATTTTGGGTTATACATTTGTATCTTTTAGTGTTTTTCGAAAATGTGGATACTCGCAATAGACGATTGTGAATTTATCGACATCTGGTCTTGTAGCATTTTCAACGCCTTGTTTGAAGTGGAGAAGCTTTTCATTGTTGGTACTATGATTATAGACACGTTTGATGTCTCTGCACCAGTGAAACGAGTTATGAAAGACACACGTATCAAAGAAATTATTCTTAAACCAATTCGACGATTATACCTAGCAGCTATTGCTTGTCATATTTTAGATGTCTATGGCATTTCTCCAGAATTAGAAAAGTGTGATATTTATTTGTTGTCAGAAATGAAGTACTGATGAACAAGTTTCAGTGTCATCCAAACCAGGAGCAACGGTAGTCCTGGATGGATAGAAAGTTACTTGATTTGTTCCCATCAGGATAAAAGTTTGAAAATTGTTAAAGCAACATTACTCGAAGTACACAAACTTGGTTTAGTTTGTCCTCCACTGTATATGATGGCAAGGTACTATTAGCACATTTGAATTTACAAAATTTTGGCTTGTCGTCGTAGATTAACTAAAGAAGAGGCGCACATGTGGCAGACAGTGATGGAAGAGAGGACGTTGCCTGCAGGTTACACCGGACAAGTCGATCACTGGGAAAGATATATCGACAGCTGTCGGGTAATATAACTGTTACTAATATCACGATGTATTGATGAATGTTAATAGGACGCTTATTTAAATATTGTCGTCCGAGGAAGAATGGAGGCTATTGATAAAGACGGCAAACTACCAGTCTGCGTAATTTCCGAAACATTTTCAGTCAGTGACAACGACAATGAACTTTCGTTGGACGCCATCATACTAAAAACATTTGACTCGTTGAGCTACTACGAACAGTTGTTGGTAAAATGCGGTGCTATTCTAGGAAATCAGTTTTTCCGAACCATGCTGTTCTATGTCATGTCTGCCGAAGATAAAAGAAAATTCGCTTTGGGTAAATTTTCGGTTCTTGAATAGATTTGATTAATACAGCGAATTGTAGCCGTTCAAAAGTTATTCGACATAAAAGTATTGACTTGTGCCAAAGGAGACTTCTATGAAGAGGGCACAGGCGTTTTTTCCCAAAGACTATTGAATCCTGCTCTAGAAATCCAACCTGCTTGTCACTGCAGAGGTTTGATTATTCCCAGTAAGTCAACCATAGTACAGTTCCGTCAGTCGCACTTCGCTTCATTCCACGTTTCAGACGTCTGCATGGATTTACCTAAATACGCTTCTTGTGGTTATCTGCAATTCAGATCGTCTATGTTCCGTAACATCACCTACAATCTCTTGACGGATAACCAAAAGAAGGAATTCCATCACAGGGCTATGAACTATTTGGAACGCGAAACTAACAAGTGCAACTCCTGTGGTGGTCGATATTTTGAAAATATTTTCGGCGCTAAACACGATAAGGTTGGATGATTTTCCTGTACGCAGGATGCTCACTTAATTTTTCTGTCAGGAACTCGTCGCAATTAGAATTAACGAAAAGAAACTCGAAGCTGCTACTAGATGGCACGGGTCTACTACAGAGACTATCAGTACTGAGCGCTCTTCAGTGCATTCGGGTAGCATTAGCGAGATAAGTACCGGTTCGGGTAGATTTTCACGAAAAAAATCTGCGATGTCGGAGCGATCGCGGGCTTCCAGCGTCGACATCAAAAGTTAATATTTATCAAAAAGTACGGCCTGTTAGAGGTGCTCTGGCAGGCCGTGTTAAAAATAGATAGAAATCACTTGTAACCAACGATTCGTAGGTATTGCGGTGTCCGAACAGGCCTTTGGCATGTCTATGATGAAACGGTTGAGAGATAGCTATTCCTTGACAAGAACCTTCTCAAGAGAAGACTTTACAGATTGTCGATGTAATTTAATTTTGAGCACGACGTATGCTCAACTGATTGAGCACTGTAACGGCGCTGGAGAACTTTACAAACTTATAGAAGCATTACTGGAATACTCCCGTATTAACATAATTTCTACTAACTTTCCATTAGCCTTGAAATCATTAAATGAAGCGTTGGATGCCTTACAGCGCATCGAAGCCGCAGACACTGTGAAAGAAAACATGTGGAAATTATCTTTGATATCGGCCAAAATTTATAGTCTCGCTGGTTTCTGTCTGCTAGAGATGGGTTATCTGGATCAAGCTGAAGTAGAGTTACGTAAAGCCTTAAGCAAGTACGAAATCACTTTTCCAAGAGGCGTCCACAGGCAGATGAAAGTGTTTCATTACAAAGTAAAACACTACATAGGTTTCCATTTCTTACCGCGCCTGTTAATGAAACCTTTAGACTATTGGGGGACGCTGTACAGCAATAATCTTTCCGAATGTTTATCTCACCTGTGCATAGTATTCGTGGTACCATGAACACATTTGCGATTACACGAATAACCGATTTCCGTAGTACAAAAAGAAGTGGAGAAGAGCCGAAATGGCGGCTACCTGGAGCTTGACAAGAGCTCTAGGATCTTTCAGCGATTTTCGAGTGATATGCACAGCCTGCGCAAATATGATAAGAGTCGCACAGCATTACGCAAACTGGAAACTCTGTCTGCATTTAGAAATGTATTCTTTGCAAATGTGCCGTTTAAAAGCAAGCGCTGTAGATGTCGAAGACCTTCGAAGCGTCGCACAACTCTATGGAGTCATTTTCAGCTCTCGGTAAGAACGCAACGAGGGTTGTCTTAATCATCACGTATTTCGTGCAGAATCAAGCAGATGCATATGGAAAGAGCCATACATATGGGTTACATCGTCTTGCGGATCTGCAGTTCAATTCGTGCTCATAAGATCATTCTTCCGTTGTTGCCGCATCTGGTGCGAGTACTTATGAAGGGAAAACATTTTAGTAATCTGTATGGCGTTCTAAAAGATATGTACGATTTTTCAGAAATGGACATCGACATCTCGGGTATGAACAGTCGAGTGAAGTTAAAAAATCATGTACAGGTTTTAGGCAAAATTTGGTACTATGATGAGTGTTTGTGCTTGCACATTGAAACTGGGTACACGCTGCTCACTTATTGCAATTGCGAACATTTCTATAAAATGGAAAGTGAATCTTGGGTTCGCGTAAGAGATCCTGATGCTAAGAAAAGGTTCTTTGCTGTTATGTGGCTATGGTAAATAATGCCGAATTATTATTTTTTTTTAAATAACGAATTTGTTATTGTGTTGTATACATGTTTAAAGGTGTTTGCGAAATGAACAATGGGAAGAGGCGTTAATTTGGAGTGAAGAAGTTGATGATTTTACCTCTATTACCTTAGAAGATACTTTGTCAAACAAATTTTCAGCAATGTATGTGTTGGAAGGTCTGCTTTTGTATTTAGTATATAAAGTAGATAGACACAACACGGTATCACTTTATCGCGTTTGGGCACACATTGATAAGTTAATCAAGGCTCTTGAAAAGGCATCTAAGACGGCAGAGATCATGTTGCCTAGGTATGATATTGTATTTGTAAGTAGATATATGCTCAATGTTAATTTTTAAGATTGTACCATTTAAAAGCATACTACAGATTTATTACAACAAATAAGGATGATACAGTGCATAAGTTGCTGGACACAGCAACTTCTTACGCACAAAAACATAAAGATTTACTGGAGGAGGAATGGATTGAACACTCAAAGAAAGTAAGTGATAATAATTACTTGTACTACTTCGGGTGTTTCGAATTTCAGCTGTTTAATTTTTTTAAAAAGTTAATAAACGTTCAATAAAACATGCTTTAGAGTTTTGTTCTATTGTTACAGGCCTGGAATAATCAGCTCCCCGCAGCTGTTGTGGACTTTTGGAAGGACCACTCGGATCCTGACAATTTAGCCCCCTTTGACGACGTCGCAATGAATCAAAAAATAGGATTTTTTACTTTACCTACACCACAGTATATGTAGAAAAATTAGTACACTTTTACGTACTTTTTTGCTGTTTTTGTGTCGTATTTTTACAGTATAAAAAATTCAACGAACCTTGAGGTTCCATAATCGCATAATTGCAAAAGCATTGTGATAACCCAAACTTCCCGCTTTAAATTGACCTTGAAAATGTTTAGAAGGCGCGTGAAAATTCAAAATTTGGCCTTGGCTGTGATCGTCTAACAAATGGAAACCTACCGTGTGATTCGAGAGCCCAAGAAATACCTCGATGGTGTTATTAATCCCTAGTGTTGCGAGGACACGCCCCGATGAAGTAATCAATCTGTAGCGTTGTGAGGACAAGCCCCGATAATGTAATCATGATAACGACGATAATAACGATGATAATCGCCGAAGGGAAGAAATTATTTTAACCCCCCGCCAGTTCGCCGTATAATGAACTCTGTTTAACTGCCGTATATGAACTATAATATAATATAATATAATCTTGCCTGGCTGCAAGTCATAAGTTAGTGGAACGACCGGAAGTTTTGCACAATCTCGAGATCATATTTGTCAACAAATGGTCAGTCGAAGACTTTTTATTTTCCGTTACATTTAGGTCACAAGGAGTCCCTTAACTTCGGGTCTAGCATCACAAGGATATCCGTATAAATCGTATCTGCACAAATACGGACATTGTAAATATTTACAGCACATTATCAACGAGAATAATGCTATCTGAGCAATATACGTAGTGTTTAAAATGTTGATGTTTATACATCGGAAGAATGTCACGTAGACGTTTGGTTGATTTGAATGAGTCTGTCGCCTCAAAACAGATGACTAAAATTATTCATAAGCTAATTATTCATAAGAACAAAATATTCTGAATGTTATAATTACAATTCTTACCTTATCATTATTTTATTGTTATAAAGACGAGCGTATTCTCACATTTTCGAGAAAATGGGCTGGCTTGATCAAGATCAAATTAAGTAGTACTTTCTAAGATATAACTTATCATATTTTGCACGTTTTGGTTAATTTAACACCTTTAAATTTCACAGGTTTGTACAAGACTAATAGGGGCAAATTCAGTTTTATTTTAACAAATACTAGGACCGCCCACCCACCCCCTATTTTCTCAGAGGATATGTCAACTGCCAAAATAAGACATGTGTTAGCAAGTATTAGCCCCACCCACCCGCCCCCTATTTTTTCAGAGGATATGTGATTTGCCAAAATAAGACGTACTAGCCCCGCCCATCCGCCCTTTATTTCGTCAGAAGGTAGTGCTTGCTAGTACTTGCTCAGATAAGACTGATTTTGCAAACGCCATACCCTCTGAGAAAATAGAGAGCGGGTGGGAGGGGCTAGTACTTGCTACGGTAAGACTGATTTTGGCAAATGATATACTCTTGAAGAAAACAGAGGGCGGATGGGCGGGGTTAGTCCTTGCTAAGATATTTTTTTTGCGCCACCTGTATAAACAAATCTAAAAAATATGAATGCAGTGATAAACCACAAGTACAAACTCATCATATTTTTCACGTTTTGGGTAATTTAACACCTTCAAATTTCACAAGTTTTTATAAGATCAATAGGGGCAAAATCAGTTTTATCTTAACAGATACTAGGTCCGCCCACCCGCCCTGTATTTTCCCAGGATATATCATTTGCGTAAACAAGTCTTACCTTAGTAAGTACTACCCCCGCCCACCCGCCACCTATTTTTTCCGAGGATTTGTCAACTGCCAAAATAGGACATATGTTAGCAAGTACTCCCCCTCCCACCCGCCCTTTATTTTCTCAGAAGGTAGTGCTTGCTAGTACTTGCTCAGATAAGAATGATTTTGGCAAACGCCATACCCTCTGAGAAAATAGAGAGCGGGTGGGCGGGGTTAGTACTTGCTACGAAAAGACTGATTTTGGCAAATGATATACTCTTGAAGAAAACAGAGGGTGGGTGGGCGGGGCTAGTACTTGCTAAGGTAAGACTGATTTTGGCAAATGATACCCTCTTGAAGGAAACAGAGGGCTGGTGGGCGGGACTAGTACTTGCTAAGATAAGACTGATTTTGGTAAAGGATATACTCTTTAAGAAACTAGAGGGCTAGTCCTTGCTAAGATAATTTTTTTGCGCCACCTGTATAAGCAAATCTAAAAAATATGAATGCAGTGATAAACCACAAGTAAAAACTCATCATATTTTGCACGTTTTAGGTAATTTAATACCTTTAAATTTCACAAGTTTTTACAATATTAATAGGGGCAAAATCAGTTTTATCTTAATAAATACTAGGCCCGCCAACCCGCCCCCTATTTTCCCAGAGGAAATGTCATTTGCCAAATCAGTCTTATCTTGCCAAGATTGCTAATAATTAGCAATCTTGTGTGAAGAATTTAGAAGTGTTATAATGTAACACTTACGTATATGCATCCAGAAACCTATTCGTAATTAAATAACAAAGGTGTTTTCCTGGCTAAGTGAATTTCAGGAAATCTTCTAGCAAGTGGTTTATTGAAATAATCCTGATTGTTAAATGATGTAACACTAGCTGACGATTAAGAAAAACTAACTTGATAGGTCAATTTACAAAGAATAAAGCAAATTTACAGCAAGTGTTCCGCGTTGATCGAAAGTCCGCACTTTTTTCCGATTAAAAGGCCAACAACCAACCCTCTAACTAAAATCTCCTAGCACTACTAATTGTCCAACTATCCAGCAAGCGTTACCGTGCACCTGGTTGTCTATGTTTAACGATTTTTTTTTTCTGATTGAATTTTTTTCTCTTTCAAATTCAAATTATTCAAATGTGATTTCGCGCCACTGTTAATTAATTTCAGCGCGAAAATTTTGATCTAAATTCGATCACCACAACATAATGCACAGTATAGTACCAGCTTATCATTAGCGTGAGGCATCCCGTGCTCTTTTTTCTCGCATCGTGTATTATCTATATTATGTTTATGACCTCATAACAAATTTTTTATTGAAGAAGTCGAAAAGGTAAGAATACGCCCCTCTTTATTTAAAAATGTAAAAGCTTCTGGAGGGCATCGATTGTCTTTTTTTAAGAATGTTAAACCTTCGCGGGGGCGTCGAATGTTTTTTTAATGTAAAACCTTCTCGAGGGCGCCGAATGTGTTTTTTAAGAATGTGAAACCTTCTCGGGGTTACCAACTGTCGTTTTTTAAAGAAGGCGAAACCTTCTCGGGGCCTCCAAGTGGGTTTTTTAATTGAATATTAAATCTTCCCGGGCCTCCCAACTGTCTTTTTTTAAGAAGGTGAAACCTTGTTTTTTTCTATTTTACTGTGACTAGGACCTCTTATATTGTTTTTATTCCAAGTAAAATTACGCAAAATCAAATCTTATAATTTTTCAGAGAAGCAGTATTTGTTGGACTGTACTTCAGAAGCAAAGGTAATAACTTTCGATCAATTTTTTTTTTGTCGGGTTGGCAAAATATTTAACATTTTAGGATGGCATACTTGATCTAAAATTGATTTTGGGCGCCAGTTCAGTATGTGGCGACACAATAACACGTCCATAACCAGAGAAAGATAAGTGGCCTCATGGTCTAGTGGTCATGATACCAGCCCGGCAAGCGGGACGCGTGGAGTTCGATTCCCAGCGAGGCAATAATATTTTTCTTCGCTTACCTTCAAGTAGCTGCCATCTTCTCATTGATTTTTAGGCGCGCTCAATTGACAATTGACAATTGCTGTGTAAGATCTAGAATCTCACTTAAATAAACTGCTTTAACCTGAAATCTACTGGTAAATCTGTGTTGTTATGCTCTCTTTCTTCTTTTGCTGTAGAAAATAATACTTCTTTTACCTCTAGACCCCATTCCTTATCCACAGGTATATTAACAGTGTCTTCGTAGCATCAGTTCGAAATTAGGTGATCTTCACATTCCTTGTATTCTTGAAATTGTTTATAGTGATAATTAAAACAAAACCAAATGTTATATTCGAACCTAGTTTTGCTAGACATTCGCGCATTGTTTTGTTTTAACGTTCACAAATAAATCGTCACGTAGACTACCAATTTTTCTCTTGTTTTTGTTTATGGTTTAATATTGACCGCCATTTGTCATATTTGTATTAAAACTTTTACTGCCACTTTAGGCCCATTTTTACATATTTACCATTTTTGTAAATAAAATTTACCAAGATGATGGAAGGAAGTAAGTAGATTTGCTCTAACTGTGCTCCTCGTGTAACGGAATTCCCTAGTGAATCAGATGGGACAAGAAGAGTACGTTTGGGCAATGCGTTCAAGCTTGTACAGGGAGTCCGACTCGGAACTTTGGAAAGAACGACGTTCAGAGGGATCACGTTCGGTGTTAAACGAAATTGGAGTGAAAAAGTCCAAAAGTTCAGCCAATACCGTCGATTACCAAACAAAAGTTATGGCATCCTTGGTTCCAGACGAAGTTATCTACAATGTGGAAGACTACAATCACAGACAATACGACGCTTGTTTTCTGTTTGGTGATGTTTCTGGTATGGGTCGGTCGTGTTTTTGAGTTTAATTCATTTTGTTTTCAAGGATTTACTGAATTGTGCGAAAAATACACTAAAACTGGAGTTTCGGGGCCTTCGAGAATGACCCAAGTACTGAACAAGTACTTGGGTTCCATGGTGCAAGAAGTACTGTCTCATGATGGTGACGTTCTAAAATTTTCGGGAGACGCCTTTTTAGCCATGTTCAAAATAGACGAAGATTCAAACATGCGCGATGCTGTCCATCAAGCTTTGGATTGTGCTCTCGTTATCCAGAAAAATTACGGGTCGTACCTGACAGATGTCAACGTCGTGATTCGAGGTATGCCGTTGTTCACCCTTCTAAAATTACTAACCCAATCCTTATTTAATTAAAGTGAAACTAGCAATATCTGCCGGTCTTGTGACTTTCGCCCTCATTGGAACCAAGTCTCTGGCTCACTACGTCGTGGTAGGAAAACCCATATGGGATGTGAAAGCCGCGGAACACATAAGCAGTGCTGGAGACATAATAGTGGCTCCAGCAGCTTGGTATTATGTATCCGCTGCAGAGTACATTTTCAACGAAATGCCAGACAGCGTCCACATCAAACTCGTCGGGATAGGTCCAAACTGGCGCCGAGTTGAAAGAAACGTACGCCAGCAAAAACAACACGAAACTGACGAGGGTAGCGTAGACGCTCTATCTCTTAATCTTAGCGAAGATGAAGAGCAAGATTGGACAGCGGGAGCGGTTACAGAGGATTTTTCTTGTACGTCAATCCTCTAACTCAACTGTTCTTTCTAAAGTGGATATTGCAGTGAGACCCGCTGTAAATTTTGCCGTCAGGAACAAGATTAAAGAAAACTTGAGAAGATTTATCATAGCACCAGTGATGAAGAGCATCGATATGCAAGAACCGTTCGAGTATTTAACGGAAATGAGACAAACCGTTATTGTTTTCATTAATGTGGTTTCGCATACGATTGAAACAAAAGAAACGGTTATTTTGGCTGATCAAACGTACAAGATTGTGTGCCGGTTAGATTAATAATTATTTTGACACTTTCAATGTCTTTTCCCACACAAACAATGTTGTAGGGTTGTTGAAAAAATGAAAGGTTGTGTCAATAAGGTGTCCCTCTTTGATAAGGACCTAATGTTTGTGGTCATTTTTGGCTTAAGAGGGTTAAAGTATGAACTTGAATGTCAAGTGGCACTGCGTTGTGCAAGGGAATGTCATCAGACCATCAGTAAACTTCCGAGTGTTTTGTCAGCTTCCATAGGAGTCACTACAGGTGAACTAGAATTGCCATAGTTTCGTAGATTGTTAGTTTATTTTCAGGCAAAACGTATTGTGGGGTCTTCGGTCACAGTCTTCGCAGAGAATATACTGTAATTAGCCTTATAGTAAACAAAGCAGCTCGATTAATGGTTGCTTACAAAGGCAAGGTCACTTGTGACAGAGAGACCTTCCTACACAGCAAGCTAGAATCAAGGCATTTCATATTACAAGAACACAAGCCGCTAAAAGGAATATCTCATCCCGGACCGGTTTACGAATTTAGAGAAGCAGAAGAGTAATTCTTTGTGTAGATGTGTTCTGATTGTTTTTTGTTTTCTGGTTATAGGGACCACGGGGAGCGTCACAAAATTAACGCACGACCCCTCCTGGGACGGGAAGAAAAACTCGAAATCTACAAGAACCTGATACAAAAATATTTGTCGGCTAAAAACATACGCGAACAACAGTATAAAATGTTGTTGATCAAAGGCGAGGCGCGTCAAGGTAAAACTCGACTTTTGGATGAAATTGTTTACATAACACCAGAAGAAATACCAGTTATTAGATTTTCCTTAACAACGAAAGATCAGAAGGTAGGGTTAGATGGTGAGCCAACTCATCGTGACAATGATTTTTTTCAAGATACCATATCAAGCTATCAGATTAATTTTCTCCTCTACTTTATCATTGAACAAAGACTCGTCTATTAAAGAAAAAGAACAGCAGCTTCTAAAAAGGTTGAGGCAAATTCAGGTTCCAGATTTACTTTGTACTTTGAATGCCGTATTTGGGGTGCGATTTAAAAATTCGTCGCTATTTCTGTCGTTAGCGCAATCAACAAGGACGGTTACTTTGATGAAGATGATCAAACAATTGGCTTATGCGGTATGAGTAATATTTCTAAAGGTGAACTTATGTCTATACTAACGAAATTGATATTTTAGTGCTTTGTGAGGCAGTATGTACTTGCTATCGACAACTTCGACTATATAGATAAAGAATCATGGCAAATTTTCAATGCTTTTTTTGATATTAAAAACATTTTCATTGTTGGAACACTGTGTTACAAGAAAATTGATTCTGATTATTGCGAAAAGGTACTGAGTGAAGATCCTCGGGTCAAAACCATTATTCTAGACCCAATCGAGAAGTGGTACCTGGGAGCCCTAGCTTGTCAAATTTTGGACGTTTATGCTATATCTCCAGAATTAGAAAAGTATTAATGACCACCTCTAGAGAAACACAGTACTTACTTTGTGTTTCCAGTGTCATTCAAATTAGAAGTAATGGAAACCCGGGATGGATTGAGAGTTTTTTGATAAGTTTGTTTCAAGACGAAGGAGTGTATATTCTTAAAGCATCTATGAGGGATATTAATGATCTTGGACTGGTAGCTCCGCCGCTATATCTGATGGCAAGGTTGTTTTTAATAATTATCGCAGTAGATTCTTAGTTAGGAGTACCTACTATTTGTAGACTAACTCAAGAAGATGCGTTTCAGTGGCAACATATAATGGAAGAAAAGAGACGACTTATAACGACTGAAACAGAACAACACTGGCAGAAATACATAGACAGTTGCAGAGTAATTCTCTTGTAGATTCATGAGTATCAAACTTAACAAATGTCATATTTTCTTTTAGGATAGTTACATGAATATTACAATCAGAGAATTGTTAGAATCGATAATAACAGGTGGCAAAGTACCAATTGGTGTGATATCGCCTAATTTTCACGTGGGAGACGAAGAAGCAGAACTGTCCATGGACGCCATGATTATGAAAACTTTTGATTCCTTGAATTTCTTTGAACAATTAGTCGTCAAATGTAGCGCCATTTTGGGAATCCAGTTTCTCAGAGACATGATGGTGTATGTTATGAATGGAACGGACAAAAAGAAAACGGCTTTAGGTGAGTTTGGATCGTCCTCAAAGCATCCCTTATGCGGATTTGTAGCCGTCAAAAAATTATTCGAAATACGCGTGTTAACGTGTGCGAAAGGAGACTTTCTTGATGAAAATGCAAGTTTTTTTAAAATAAAAGAGGAGGAACCCTCAGACGAAAATATCATAGAATGCAGATGCAAAGGCATTAAAATCCCTGGTAAATGTGTCTTTGACAAGTATAAATTTTTGAAGGACATTTTTAGAGTGCTGCCTAGATCTTCCAAGATATGCCTCTTGCGGTTATTTGCAATTTAAATCGACCCAATTCCGTGACATTACCTACAATTTGCTTACCGATAAGCAAAAGAAAGAGTTTCATCAACGCGCTATAAGATATTTGGAACGAGAAACTCGGAAGTGTAAAGCGTGCGGACAAGGATTTTTCGAGAGGATTTTGGAAAACAAAGAGGATAGGGTAAAGAGAACTAGATTTTTAGGACAAGCAGTTACTAGTTTTTATAGGACTTTGTAATTGCGAAGAGAAAATTTAAAAAGAGGGATGGAGAAATGTTTGAAGATATGGATACTTTAAGTCGTCGTACTTCTTCACACAGTATATCGACAGTATTCTCATCTAGTAGTTCTAAATTCAAGAAAAGTGAAGATGGAAAATCTATCGGCTCTTTGATCAGTGGTCAACCTACAATAGACAGAGGTTAGCTTCAGTGGAATAAGATTATTTTTGAAGAATTTTTTTTCAGGACACAAACCTTTTGATTCTGCTTTCGGATTTAGAGTTATAAACAAGTTAAAAGAGAGTTTTTCGTTAACACGGGGATTTTCTTCAGAAGATTTCACTGATTGCCAGTGCTTACTGATTTTAAGTACCACTTATTTACAACTAATAGAACATTGCACAGGTGCAGGTGACTTACCAAAATTAACTGATGCAATGATAGAGTATTCGTACATCAGTATTACGTTGTGTAATATTCCCTTAGCTTTGCGAACTCTAGACGAGGCACTACAGACTGTGAAGAAAAGGGCTAAATTAAAAACAGAGGGCGATTTGTGGAAGTTGTCCTTAATTCGTGGCAAAATATATACTCTTCTGGGTTATGCAAGAATAGAGATGGGTCAGCTTGACGAAGCTTTCTCTAATCTTTGTAAATCGCTATTCGAATACAACACAAGTTATCCAACGTCGAGCACTACTAAAAACATGAAAACGTGTTTGTACGTGTTTAAACAATTGTTTGGATTTTATGTATTTCCTAACACTTTGACGAAACATCTGGATTACTGGGAAGTTGTTTATTCCAACAATCTCGCTGAATGTTTGACACAGCTCTCCAATTTATACATAGTGGGTAGCAGCGGCATGTTAACTCGAAAACTAAAAATTTCTTTCAGATAAAAAATGAGTGGAAAAATGCAAAATTAGCTGCATCTTGGGCATTATGCAAAGCAGTGGCAGCTTTTAGCAACTTTCAGCTTATCACTATTACTTGTGCCAATATGCTCCATGTCGCCCACCGTCTGAAGATGTGGAGACTATGCATTGCATTAGAAGTACACGCTTTGAGAATGTGTCATATGAAAAAAGACACAGTCGACGCTGAAGACCTCAAGTGTGTAGCTAGATTATATAGCACAATTTTTTTTTCGAGAATGCTGCGTTCAACTACGGAAAGAGCCATACACATGGGTTACACTGTCTTAAGACTGTGTACTGCGATTCGTGCAGTGAACATAATTCTCCCTTTACTGCCCCTTTTCTTCCACGCTCTCTTATTAGGAAAACATTTCAGCAACGTGTTGTCTATTTTGCAAGAACTGGAATATTTCGCCACGGAGGACTCGGACAGCTCTGGTTCCTTTTCTTAGATTTGTGACACTTTAAAAACTGTCTTGGTTTTTAGGAAAAGTTTGGTATCTTGCTTTGTGCGTCGTCGTCCACCTAGAAACAGGATTTACAGTAATACCTTATCACTCGTGCATGGAACAGTATCAGGTAGAAGGGGATCGTTGGGTGACGATTAGGGACCCCGATGCTAGAAAAAGGTTCTTCACTGTGATGTGGCTTTGGTAATAAGGTGGCTACATTTATTTACTAGTCGTGAAACATTTTGCTTCTTCAGGTGTATCAGGAACGAAAAATGGGAAGAAGCGGCAGTGTGGTGTCTAAAAACCAACGATTTTACGATCATTAAAGAAAACGACACTTTAGCTAACAAATTCACAGCTCTGTATTTGCTAGAAGGGATGATTTTATTTTTGGTATCGAAATTGGACAAGCGGAACATTAAAGCAGTCATGGGAGCGGAAAAAGAAATCGAGCATTTAATTTCAGCGCTGGACAAAGCTTCCAAAACTGCCCAAATCATTTTACCGAGGTACGTGTTGTTAAATGGTTTCATTTACAATTGCATGTTTTTAAGGTTTCATCACTTGAAAGCGTACTACAAATTTGTGAAAAATTTCGATGTCAAACTGGACCCGTTATTGAAAAAGGCACAAAAATTCGCTGCAAAATATAAAAATGACTTGGAAGCATCTTGGCTTGAACACACATCGAAAGTGAGTAGAATAAGTGACAATATGGTTGATGTTTTGACGTTTTTAAGGCGTGGAAGAGACAATTACCAAATATAGTAGTCGACTTTTGGAAAGAGCATTCAGAAGCGGATAACGTGCTTGATTTCCAAGAGATCGAATCTGAGGATAAAATAGGATTTTTCACTCTACCAGCACCTCTGTATGTTTAGAACATAATTAAACAAGTATTGAGAAAGTGTTTGTTATTAAACTTTTGTTTTCTTAATATGTGTAGACTTATTTCGATTTAAAATTAACTCTGTCAAATGCAATTTTCGCTATGATTTCTTCAACGTGATGACTTTTTCATTTGAACACCCGTTATAACAAATTTTGACACATTTTAAAATTGAAGTATGTATAAAGTTGTCGAGTAACGCCATCCGTTCGAAGCATAGCCCAGAGTTTAACAAATTTTTTCTATTATTTGAAGAACGAAAAAAAATTGCATAGTAAGTACTATTTAAATTTTATAAAATAAGTTTATCCTGTATTTGTGGTTTATGAATCTTCCTTGATTGTCTGTCCTGGGCATCGAGATTTTTACAATTTTTTCTTAATATACATAGCCATCTTTTCACAACAAGAAACATAGAACATGGTTAAAGTAGTACATTTTTTGCAAAGAAATACGGATTTTGCAATTATGAGGCGGAGCCTAATTGCAAAATCGATATTTCCTTATACAAATTTTCTTTTTTAAACATGTTTTAAGTTGCATCTTACGAAAAGAAGTCTACACAACATATTAAAACAAAAAAACAAATTATAAGCCCGCCCACCCGCCCTATCTCAATTGTGATGATTTTTTGTATTCGCCGTGAACCAAGAGGGCGGAGCTTAACTGCAAAATGCTTATTTCTTTACAAGAAATTAAACATGTTTTTGAGTATCGTGTTCAAAGAATAATATATACAATTATTAAGAAAAAAAAGGCAAAATATTATACCGCTTTAATTTTTCTCGATGTGGAAAATTCTATTCATAGTCAATATTTGTATAGTACGAAATCTATCCCACTTTTTAGCCGGAAATTTTGAATTATCTCATCTCTTTAATCTTCCTCTATGTGGAAAATTCTACTCATAGTCAATAGTTGTATAGTACGAATTCTAGCCCATTTTTAGCGGGTAATTTTGAATTATGGTAGATTATATAATAAGACGGAGTAAGGGTGGGTGGGCGGGGCACCGCTTTAATTTTTCTCGATGTGGAAAATTCTATTCATAGTCAATAGTTGTACAGTACGAAATCTATCCCACTTTTTAGCCGGAAATTTTGAATTGTCACATCTCTTTAATCTTTCTCTATGTGGAAAATTCTATTCATAATCAATAGTTGTATAGTACGAATTCTAGCTCATTTTTAGCGGGAAATTTTGAATTATGGTAGATTATATAATAAGACGGAGTAAGGGTGGGTGGGCGGGGCACCGCTTTAATTTTACTCGATGTGGAAAATTCTATTCATAGTCAATAGTTGTATAGTACGAAATCTATCCCACTTTTTAGCCGGAAATTTTGAATTATCACATCTCTTTAATCTTTCTCTATGTGGAAAATTCTATTCATAATCAATAGTTGTATAGTGCGAACTCTAGCCCATTTTTAGCGGGAAATTTTGAATTATGGTAGATTATATATTAAGACGGAGTAAGGGTGGGTGGGCGGGGCACCGCTTTAATTTTTCTCGATGTGGAAAATTCTATTCATAGTCAATAGTTGTATAGTACGAAATCTATCCCACTTTTTAGCCGGAAATTTTGAATTATCTCATCTCTTTAATCTTCCTCTATGTGGAAAATTCTACTCATAGTCAATAGTTGTATAGTACGAAATCTATCCCACTTTTTAGCCGGAAATTTTGAATTATCACATCTCTTTAATCTTTCTCTATGTGGAAAATTCTATTCATAGTCAATAGTTGTATAGCACGAAATTTATCCTAATTTTTAGCCGGAAATTTTGAATTATCACATCTCTTTAATCTTTCTCTATGTGGAAAATTCTATTCATAATCAATAGTTGTATAGTGCGAATTCTAGCCCATTTTTAGCGGGAAATTTTGAATTATGGTAGATTATATATTAAGACGGAGTAAGGGTGGGTGGGCGGGGCACCGCTTTAATTTTTCTCGATGTGGAAAATTCTATTCATAGTCAATAGTTGTACAGTACGAAATCTATCCCACTTTTTAGCCGGAAATTTTGAATTATCACATCTCTTTAATCTTTCTCTATGTGGAAAATTCTATTCATAATCAATAGTTGTATAGTGCGAATTCTAGCCCATTTTTAGTGGGTAATTTTAAATTATGGTAGATTATATAATAAGACGGAGTAAGGGTGGGTGGGCGGAGCACCGCTTTAATTTTTCTCGATGTGGAAAATTCTATTCATAGTCAATAGTTGTATAGTACGAAATTTATCCTAATTTTTAGCCGGAAATTTTGAATTATCACATCTCTTTAATCTTTCTCTATGTGGAAAATTCTATTCATAATCAATAGTTGTATAGTGCGAATTCTAGCCCATTTTTCGCGGGAAATTTTGAATTATGGTAGATTATATAATAAGACGGAGTAAGGGTGGGTGGGCGGGGCACCGCTTTAATTTTTCTCGATGTGGAAAATTCTATTCATAGTCAATAGTTGTATAGTACGAAATTTATCCTAATTTTTAGCCGGAAATTTTGAATTATCACATCTCTTTAATCTTTCTCTATGTGGAAAATTCTATTCATAATCAATAGTTGTATAGTGCGAATTCTAGCCCATTTTTAGCGGGAAATTTTGAATTATGGTAGATTATATATTAAGACGGAGTTTGGGTGGGTGGGCGGGGCATCTCTTTAGTTTTTCTCTATGTGGAAAATTCTATTCATAGCCAGTAGTTGTATGTTTAGAACATAATTAAACAAGTATTGAGAAAGTGTTTGTTATTAAACTTTCCATCCCCTCTTATTGATGAGTATTGGATCTACTCTTGCTATTTCGTAATTCGTATTGTTTTCTTCTGGTCACCATGGTAATACTATGGATTTTTCCAAACAGTTTGCAGCAATTTATTTGTGAATTTATTATTTACATTTTTTTTGCCAAATTCATGGCCCCTTTTTTCATCTACACTTTGCTAACTTAACAAAATCATTCAAGATGATGGAAGGACGTATGTTTGTGGCAATAATTCCACCCTGTCTAACAATCCGTTTCAGTGAATAATCTGGGGCAGGAGGAGTACATTTGGGCAATGCGGGAAAACACTGCCCTTAATAATGAATCAGACGAACAGTTTACTAAATCTCGCCTGCCTGCTCTTGGAGCAAGAAAATCTAGATACATGGTGGAAATATTGCAGCGTAATGATGATCAGACTAAATTAATGGCTTCTCTAGTCCCGGACGAAGTGATATATAACGTAGACGACTACAGCCACAGAGAGTACGACGCTTGTTTTCTTTTCGGTGACGTTTCCGGTAGGGATTCGTTCTTGGTTTGCACCTTTCGATCATTGTCTGCGCAGGTTTTACAGAACTATGTGAAAAATACAGCCAGACCGGAATTTCGGGACCGTCGAGACTGACTCAAGTCTTAAACAAATATCTAGGCTCTATGGTTCAGGAGGTTTTATCCCACAATGGTGACATTTTGAAGTTTTCTGGTGACGCGTTTCTCTCTATCTTCAAATGTTCCGAAACTGAAAGCATGCGAGACGCTGTTCATGAAGCGGTTGACTGCGCTCTAGTCATTCAGAAGTCATATGGTTCTTACATCACGGATGTCGGAGTGAAGATACGAGGTAATGTAGCTGGAGAAATACGCAAAACTAGTATGCTGACACAAATTTTTAAAAAGTGAAATTGGCGATTTCTGCGGGTCCGGTGACTTTCGCCCTCATCGGAACAAAGACTACGTCCCATTACGTCGTGGTAGGAAACCCCATTTGGGACGTCAAAGCAGCCGAGCATATAAGCAGCCCCGGAGACATCATAGTGGCACAAGCGGGTTGGCACTACATCAACCCCACCGAATATCTTTTCACTGACATGCCTGACGGTATCCATGTTAAGATCACTGGTATTGGAGCTAACTGGCGTAGTGTCCAGAAAAATGTGCGCCACCAACATTTAGATGCAAGTAGAGATGACATGAGTTCGTCGACTGGTTCTTCAGAGACTGACGATTTGAATGAACCAGAAGGGGTACCACCAATGGATGAGTTTTCCTGTAGGTCACTCATACTTCCAAACTAAATTCAGTACTGATTCTCGTTTTAGTACGACCGGCGGTGAATTTGGCTGTTCGCCTTGAAATTAAAGAACCTTTAAGACGGTTTATCATAGCGCCAGTGATGAAAAGTATAGACATGGATGAACCGTTCGAGTACTTGACAGAAATGAGACTGGTTACCATCGTGTTCATTAATGTAATTTCAATCAAACTTCAGAACGAAGCAACGGTGGTATTGGCGGACCAGACTTACAAGGCTGTGTGCAGGTTAGTGTCCGAACCGTTTCAACACGTTTTTACTTTTTGGAAATGTTTGTAGCGTGGTGGACAAAATGAACGGCTGCGTGAACAAGGTTTCCCTTTTCGACAAGGACTTAATGTTCGTTGTTATTTTTGGTCTGCGTGGACTTAAACACGAGTTAGAGTGTCAAGTGGCCTTAAGATGCGCTAGGGAATGTCATACCGCTATAAGCCAGCTACCAAACGTGTTGTCGACTTCTATTGGAGTTACCACCGGTAATAATCATAATTCTGATTGATCGTTTGAAGAAACGAGTTAAAATTAGAGACCGATGTTTGTTATCAAAAGATGGCTTCAGACAAATGTGGGCAATTTCGTTACTTTATAAAATTCAATAATGGTGTGACCCAAATGTATGGTCCGACTTTTTTCCTTAAACTGAAATTAGACTATACAGACACAATTAAGATTTTTAAAACGATATTCTATTTCTGCATTTTCCCATTTTTGCAAGTTTTGCATTTTTATCAACTCTCTGATGGAATTCTTTCTTTTGATTGTCGGTAAACTGAATTTAGTTAACACGTAAATGAACGATTTAAATTACGGTTGCCTCAAGAAGCACAAATATAGAAAGATCAAGACCAGTTTTTTCACTGTCAAACACGACATTATTTTTAGGTAAAACTTATTGTGGTGTATTCGGTCACACTCTTCGTCGAGAGTACACAGTAATCAGCCTCATAGTTAACAAAGCAGCTCGACTGATGGTATCTTACCAAGGCAAAGTTACTTGTGACAAAGAAACCTTCCTGCACAGTAAACTAGAAGCAAGACATTTCATTCTACAAGAATATAAGCCACTGAAAGGAATTTCCCACCCTGGACCAGTTTACGAGTTTAGAGAAATCGACATGTAAAATCCTTGTTAACAGCGATACATCTGAATTAGTGACTAACCTTTTGACAGAGCACATGACCAAGTTCAAAGAATAAACACCTCTCCCCTACTGGGAAGAAACGAAAAACTAAAAGTGTATCACCGTATACTGGAAGCATTTCGAACGGCAAAACCTGACGAAGAACAGCGATACAAAATGTTTTTGATTAAAGGTGAAGCTCGACAAGGAAAAACGCGCGTTTTAGATGAGATTGTCTATACAACCCCGGAAGACATTCCAGTGAACAGATTCAAGTTGACAAAAGCAGACCAGAAGGTTGTAAAAAAAGAGTCTTTCTGTTAACCAAACTGATCACTTTGTAGAAACCCTATCAGGCAATCAAACTGATATTCACCCTTGCAATACCACTACGTCCAGAACTAACAACAACACAAAAAGAAGAAAAATTGTGTAAAGTCTTAAAGAAAACTGAAATTTTCGAAGTGATATGCGTTCTAAATGACATATTTGGTGTCAACTTTAAAAAAACCGAGCTGTATTTGTCGTTAAAACCACACGAACAACGCCTGATTTTGCGCAAAATGATCAAACTTCTAGCTCACGTTGTACGTTTCGTTGTTTGAGAACAACAGTGATTGGTTCTTGACTTTTTTTAGAGTTTTGTGAAAGCGTGGGTGCTGGCAATTGACGACTGTGAATTTATCGACAACCAGTCGTGGGAAGTGTTTAATGTTTTGTTTGAGACGAGAAAGCTTTTCATCGTTGCTACAATATCGCGAGAAAAGCTTAATAAATCTCCTGTTTCTCGGCAAGTTCTTAGTGACACGCGCGTTAAAATGTTGGAACTGCAGCCCATCCCACGGTTGTACTTGGGAGCGCTGGCTTGCCAAATTTTGGACGTGTATGCTATATCTCCAGAGTTAGAGAAGTATTGGGTCGTTATTTCGCGAAAGGTGGGCTAACCGAAAGTTTCAGTGCTGTGCAAACTAAAAGTAATGGCAATCCTGGGTGGGTGGAGAGTTTTTTGATCAGTCTAATTCAAGATAACGCTTTATACATTTTAAAAGCCACGTTGAGACAAATACACGATCTAGGGTTAGTGTGTCCTCCGCTGTATATGATGGCAAGGTGATGAGAATAAGTTGGAAGTACCGGTTTGTTAATGTGGTATTACAGATTGGACAGGGAAGAGACACTTAAATGGCAAAACATAATGGAGGAAAGTAGAGCGGCTGGAGAAACCGACAACTGGCAAAGATACATCGACAGTTGCCGAGTACTTGTATTAAATCTTTAGAATTATTTTAGTTACACTTGTTTTAACAGGATAGTTTTCTAAATGTCACCATAAGAGAACAAATGGAAGCCATTTCTAAAGGAGGTAAAGTGCCGATTTGTGTGATTGGTCCAAATTTTTCTGCCAGCGCTAAAGACATGGAACTATCGGTAGAGGCCATGATACTCAAGACATTTGATTCTCTCAATTTCTACGAACAGTTGATGGTTAAATGTAGCGCAACTTTGGGCTATCAATTTTTTCGACAGATGTTAATGTATGTCACGTCTTCAACTAACCGCAGAAAGTTCGCCGCTGGTAATTTTTTTTTTTGTACAAGCAAAGATGTGATTTGTAATTGCAGCCGTTGGAAAACTCTTCCAAATAAAAGTTTTAACTTGTGCGGCGGGGGATTTTCTAGAAGATGGTACATTCGTGTTCAGAGAAAAACTACTGAATCCTATGGAAAAAAAGGAACTGACTTGTCAGTGCAGGGGTATACGTGTTGATGGTGAATTGTCGGTAAAGTTCTGAACCAATTTTATATACAGGTCATGTTTCAGATGCATGCCAGGGTCTTCCTAGATACGCTTCATGTGGCTATATGCAATTTAGATCGTCTTTATTTCGCGACATTACCTACAATCTTTTGACTGATAATCAAAAGAAGGAATTCCATCAAAGAGCCATCAAATACCTGCAACGAGAGACGCGTAAATGTAAAGCTTGCGGTAAAGGCTTCTTTGAGAACATTCTAGGTGACAAACAAGATCAGGTTAAGGGAGCATCCAAAGTAAATACTTAGTAATACGGTTTTTCGTTAGGAATTCCTATTGGTTAGAAATAAAACTCGAAATGTCGTGCCGACTTACAAATTTGATACAAGATTGAGCGATAAAGAGGAGTCATTAAATGGGTCAATACATTCCGGCAGCTTGATAATGCCTCACTCGAGTAGTATTTCTAGCGGTAGCAGCTTGAAAGTTAAGAAGTTACAGGATTATAAACGGCCTAGGCAGTTTTTAAAAATGAACCTGCAAGGCTAGTATTAATAGTTACCAGAAGTCATAATACTGATTAAGAATTTTAGTTAAAAAATCTCACGAATCCTTTTTCGGGGTTTCGATGATCCACAAACTTAAAAACAGTTATTCTTTGACAAGGGCTTTTTCGCAAGAAGACTTCAGTAACTGTGACTGTAATCTCATTCTAAGCACAGTCTATGGTCAGCTCATCGAGCACTGCAAGGGTGCAGGGGATCTAAACATGCTCATCCAGGCAATGTTGGCTTATGCGTACGTCTGCATCGCCTTGTCTAACATTCCACTCGCGATGACCACATTAGACGAATCATTGGACGCTCTGAGACTCAAATGCCTCGAAAAGAGTGAAAATATGTGGAAGTTTACCTTACTTCGTGCGAAAATTTTTATCTTGATCGGGTACGCGCGGATGGAAATGGGTCACTTAGATAAAGCCCATGACAACCTCCACATGGCTTTAAATGAATACGGAATCAGATTTCCTACAGGACTGAAGCGACGGATGAAAGCTTGCGTTTTCCAATTTCGACAGTATTTAGGTTTCTATGTTTGTCCGAACTTGATGCTCAGAAATTTAGACCACTGGGAAACGGTGTACTCCAATAATCTCTCTGAATGTTTATCACATCTGTGCACTCTGTACATGGTTGGTTAGTCAAATTTGGAAATTCAGTTTTTAACCGTTTTTGTAGATAAGGAAAGAGTGGGAAAATGCAGAACTGGCCGCTATTTGGAGTTTATCCAAATGTTTACAGTCTTTCAGTGACTTTAAAGTAATGTGTGTAGCTTGTTCGAATATGATTTTCATAGCACAGCACTACGAAAGATGGAGACTGTGTATAGCGCTAGAAATTTATTCATCACGATTGTGCCATATAAAAAAGGATGAAAACATGCTAGCTAAAGATCTTGAATGTATTGCGAAATTGTACAGTGTCATCTTCGTTTCACGGTAATAACTAATTTTTTTTAACAAAATTTACAACATATTCCATCAAGGATAAGCCAGACACACTTTGAAAAGGCTATACAAATGGGTTACATCGTTTTAAGACTGAGTAATGCAATTCGCGCCCCTAAGGTTGTTCTTCCTTTGTTGCCCCATTTGGTTTATGCACTTTTGATAGGAAAACTTTTCGGTAGTGCCTCGAACATTATGTCGGAGATGAATGAACTCTCTGAAGAAGATCCTGATATTCTTAGTAAGTTAAAACCTTGTCGAAATAAAATTAAGTAACTAAAAACATTACAGCAAAAATGTGGTACTACGCTGAAGCTCTGGGCTTGCTGATAGAAACCGGACACACTGTTGTTTCGTACAACACGTGCGAAAACTTCTATAAAATAGAAGGCGGTTCTTGGATCACCAGGTTGCATCCTGACGCTGGAAGACGATTTTGTAGTGTTATGTGGTTATGGTGCATACGAAACGAGCACTGGGAAGCCGCCTTACTCTGGGCTAACGTAATGGATGATTTTTTTGACGTCACTCACAACGACTCTTTGGCAAATAAACGTTCGGCATTGTATGTGTTAGAAGGGTTACTTTTGCACATGGTGTCAAAAATGGATAAACGCAATATGCCGGCTGTTCAAAACATCGAAAAAGAAATTAATACTTTAATTAAATCTCTAGAAAAAGCGTCAAAGTCGAGCAAAATTATTCTGCCCAGGTAGAAATGATCCTTGATAGAAGATGCGTACAAGAAAATTGCTTGTTTCAGGTTGTATCATCTAAAGGCGTATTACAGATACATTCAACACAGTGACATAAGTGTACTTGAGTTGCTAAACAAAGCAAATCATTATGCGAAACAACAAGGGAACTTGTTGGAACTGGATTGGATCGAGCACTCGACCAAAGTATTCCACTTTTTTTCTGTAAGACAACATAACTTAAAAACGTATTCTAAAGGCCTGGAATAACGACCTACTGCTCGCCGAGGTAAATTTCTGGAAGGAACATTCTGAATTTGACAACGCGATTGATTTCGGTGATCTTGATATGAGTGAAAAAATCGGATTTTTCACTTTACCCACTCCAGAATACCTGTGAAATAAAAGTAAATTGTATTAGTTCGGGAATCTGTTTGTTTATTATTCGTTTTCAGTGATCGCAGTCCTGTCCCATCTGTAAAGAAAATTCACTTGACATTGTCACATTGTACATGTATATGCATATTTTATTAAATTTTTTAGGATTAAATCATTTGTATTTTTTTCCATCATTGGTGCTATGTTATTTGCCTCTCTTGGAAAAACTATAACATGTCTAATCGGAAGTAAAGTCCTAGATAAAACCATGGCCGACTAGTATAAAGATTATGGCCTGTCCAAGAGGTACGATACGTGTTGCCATCTATTAATAATTACACTTAATAATTTAGCAAAATTTTAATTTGACTTGACATTATGGGACTTCAAAACGTGTAATGGTGGTTTGTTTCGGTATGAATGCCTTTGTGCCTTTCAAAAAGTGTTAATAATTCTTTTGTCGTTTTTGAATTATTAAAGATGGCAGCACGTATGGTACCTTTGGCATTCCTTTGGACAGGCCATAATCTTTATACTAGTCGGTCATGATAAAACTTACCTACAAAAAAACGTCATTTCAATGTAGTAAAAATTTAGGTTAACACCATAGTGTCACATATACAAGTGAATGTTCAAATTCAAATCCACATTATATCTGTCACTTGTGTTATTTTGTTTTGACACACAAGTTATAAGAAGAATCAAAATTTTCATGAAATTTCATTGAGCTGTCAGAAAAGTTGCCTAAAAATTAAGTAAAAATTGTGGAACGCAGCTTTTCATGAGATAAGTCGAAAAACATAGCGTGTTGACGATGTCAGATGAAGATCTTATACTGTTCCTTTTCAAAGTCAAGTTTTTAAAAAATTCTAAATTATATTTTGATAATTTCTGAAAAATAATGGAAATTTTCGAAGAAATTTTGGAGCTCGACAGCTGTGAAAACTCCTTTTAGACAATAAAGATAAAATCACATATTGAAAAACTGAGCTTTTGGAAAAAGTGACTAAGCTCCACCAAAAATTCCGGAATATAGTTAGATCTTGATAAGTTAATTCAAAAGCATATCTTGTTAATAGTCCTCGACAAAGATTATAGAGGTATTCATTTTCAAAATAAAATTGTTAATCATTTATAACAATTATCATATACGAGCCCTAACAACTAAATATTGGGACACAGACAATTTCTCAAAAAAATCCGGTACATATTTTTGAAATCATTCAATTCGTTTGGACTAAATGCAAATTTTGCATGGACATCTATTTTGGCAGAGAGTGAGGTATTTTGCAAATTAATAAATTTTCTTAGAGCGCAAAAATTGTCACCTAAATAAAAAATGTGCCATTTTTGCTGACATTTAAATGTTGGGACACCCGAGAAAATTTGCTAAGTATACCATCGAAATACAAACGTAGTAGCTGGTAAATGCTGCCATTATTATAGGGATCGTAGCATTTCATACTAGTGTTGGTTTCACTTAGAAGAAAATAGTTAGTGGTGCGCTAGTTTTAGTAAAATTTCTGAAAATAATAATTTCGCAGTACTGCATGGGAAAATCGATAAGAAAAAGTGAAGATTTGTTCTAAATAGTTTAGTCGTCGATGGTAAACATCGTAAAATATTACGCAGACAGAGGTACCATAGGAATAAAAGGTAAAATTCCCGGTAGGCCACCACTTGTGAAGCCGCGTGATCAACGACAACTGATGAAAATTTATAAAAGTGGACGACGGAGTACTTCAAGAGAAATTACTACTTGCTGGAATAGCGATAACCAAATAAATGTTTCAAGACAATATTGTCGCGAATGGATACACAAATCAGGCCTTGGTTTTTACATTGTAAATCTTAAATAAAGCTATCTTTGATTGATTTTATTATTTATTTATATTATGTTAGGCTAAAGTAAAACCACAATTAAAAACTGCCCATAAGAAAAATTGGTTAATATGACCAAAATAAAATTTGGAGATAAGTAATATATAACGCTGAGTCCAAATTTGATGTATGGGTGAGATAATAGTCGAAAAAGAGTTATTGAAATAAAAAAGGAATTTTAATATGGATTATCTTAAACAATCAGTCAAGTTTGCAAGCGGAAAAATGGTTTGGGGGTGCATGTCTATTAACGGAATTTAAAGACCAGTTAACAATGTTCATGGAAGGGAAATTACAAATTCAAACAAATGTCAAGAGACTTTGTAAAAAAATATTAACAACTATTGCAGCAGTCTATCTTGTTGATATTTATATGTTTCAACAGGATGATGCTTCAAGTTACACACCTACAACACTTATTACAAAGAATAATAATATAAATATTTGCCCTGACCATCGAATAGCCCAGATCCTAATCTAATAGAGACGGTATGGCGTGAAATAAAAAAATATTTAGGAAATCATCAATGACAAGCGATTGTCAATCTTCAACAGGAAATTTAGCGAGTGTAGGATACGGTAACAAATCCTGTGTATTGCAGAAAATTAGTTGAAAGTATGATGGCAAGAATTCCTGCAGTTATTAAGGCAAAAGGTGATATGACCAGTTACTGAATTTGCTGTGTCCCAATATTTATGTGTCACCAAATGTTACGTTGTTTTAGAGTTTTATGTCACTGTTTGAGTTAGAAATCAGTTTTTGTTGTGCTGTAAACATTAACACTTTTGCAAAACGAACTAATTTTAAAATTTTAATTATCTAAAATAAATTACATTTTTGTTAAAAAGTTTGGGATTTTTTTATAAAAATTTTTTGTTGTCCCAATATTTAGTTGTTAGGGCTCGTACTATTTTGACGATTCTAGAAAAAGGGTAGAAAACTAATAATAATTTCCCACAAAATTTTTATATAGAGCTATTTTGGCGAAACTGTTAAAACTGCTATATCACAATCGAAAAACGGTAGGAATTTCCGAAGAAACGAAGCCGCAAATGGTTTCTGGGTATCGTAATTTAAAAAAAAAATGTCAAAAGTGTAAAAACAATTTTATCTTATCAAATACTAGCCCCGCCCACCCGCCCTCTATTTTCTTAGAGGGTATGTTGTCTGCCAAAATCAGTCTTATCTTAACAAATACTAGCCCCGCCCACCCACCCTTTGTTTTCTTGGAAGGTATGTCATTGCCTAAATCACTCTTATCTTATCAAATACTAGCCCCGCCCACCCGCCCTCTATTTTCTTAGAGGATATGTTGTCTGCCAAAATCAGTCTTGTCTTATCAAATACTAGCCCCGCCCACCCACCCTTTGTTTTATTGGAAGGTATGTCATTTGCCTAAATCACTTATCTTATCAAATACTAGCCCCACCCACCCTCCCCCTATATTCTTGGAAGGTTTGTCATTTGCCAAAATCAGTCTTATCGTAGCAAGTACAAGCCCCGTCCACCCGCTGACTTGCTAAGATAAGACTGATTTTGGCAAATCACATACCTTCCAAGAAAACAGAGGGTGGGTGGGCGGGGCTAGAATAGACTAATTTAAGTAAAAAGATAAGACTAATTTTGGCAAATGGCAAGCCTTCCAAGAAAATAGAGAACGGGTGGGGGCGGGGCTAGTAGCTGGTAAGATAAGACTGATTTAGGCAAATGACATATCCTCTAATAAACTGGAGGGTGGGTGGGCGGGGCTAGTATTTGGTAAGATAAGACTGATTTTGGTACTTTTGACATTTTCGACAATTTTTCAACAATTTGCGAAAATTGATTGAAGACATTTTCTTGTTCGTTATCTAATCTAGAAGTCATTTTCGGTTTCGCTTCTTCGGAAATTTCTACCGTTTTTCCCACACCGCTAATTGAAATATAGCAGTTTTTATAGTTTCGTTAAAGTAGCTCGGTATAAAAATTTTGCACGTAGATAAAAAAGGAAATTAGTATTACTCGAAGGACGAAGAAGGACGAAAAGGACGAATAAGGACGAAGAAGGACGAAAAAGGACAAATAGGACGAAAGGGACGAAAAGGACGAAAAACTACGAAAAGGACGAAAAAGGACGAAAATGACGAGAAGGACGAAAAGGACGAAAAAGGACGAAAAGGACGAAAAGGACGAACAAGGATGACAAGGACGAAAAAAACGAAAAGGACGACAAAAGACGAAAAGGACGACAAAAGACGAAAAGGACGAAGAAGAAAGTAAAGGACGAAAAGGACGAAGAAGGACGTAAAAGATGAAAAGGACGAAGAAGGTCGAAGAAGGACGAAAAGGATGTAAAAGGAAGGAAAGGACTGAAAGGATGGGAAGGACGAAAACGAAAAAAACTACGAAAAGAACGAAAAAGAACGAACAGAACGAAAAACAACGAAAAGGACGAGAAAAGACGAAAAGGACGAAAAAGGATGAGAAGGACGAAAAAGGACGAAAATGACGAAAAAGGACGAGAAGGACGAAAAGGACGAGAAGGATGAAAAGGACGAGAAATGCTGATAATTAAAAAAAAAATAAAAAATTTTAAAGTAAAAATAAAATCAATCACTGAAAACGAGACAGGGTAGGTGGGCGGAGCTAATTAATTATATTCTTCTGTCGACTGAGAGTGGAAACTAATAATAGAATCTAGGATCTGAAAATAGTGAAAAAACAAAACGCTAATCGTAACTTTTTTGTTATATTATTTGGTATAAAATTTATTTCTAATTTCATGCACATGACCTGACTTGACCTAACGTGATCAGACCTGTCCTGACTTTTCTATTTTCCCAAATTAACAAATTCTAAACGTTTCTGTGAATATACATACATATAAAAACTTTATATAAAACCAAAAATTGTCTTTTTTATCTACAAAAATTTTAACCGAACTATTTTGACGAAACTGTAAAAATTACTATATATCAGTCGGCGATGTTGGAAAAACGGTAGAAATTACCGAAGAAACAAAGCCGAAAATGACTTCTGTATATCGAAATTTAGAAGAAAATGTAACTAATTTTTATTAAATAGTTGAAAACTGGTAGAAAATATCAAAAGTGCCAAAATCAGTCGTATTTTATAGGGCCGAAATCGAGAATACATAATGGCAGAGGGAGACCGAGATAAGTTAAGTATGACTGAAAGGCAGACTTACACAGAGACAGCATACAGATTTTTCTATCTTCTTCTCGGTCTCAGCAAATTTTTGTAAGTTCGAATTTCTTCAAAATTCAGCCAAAATAGTAAAAAAAAAACTTGGTACGGAAACGGACAGTGTCCCACTACAACTCGGAATTTGAATTAAAATCACTTCCTGCGCTACTGTTTTTATAGGGATTTTTACCCATTTATCTTGTCTCCCGTGACGTTAGTAAGCCATAATTCTTTTTAATTTATGTATTACACGGAACTCAACTTTAGGTCTTATTTCGCTGTTTTATAGGGTTTAATTTTGTTTGACTAGGGTTCGTTCCTGCCGGATTTATGCGACTACTCTGTCATAAGCTGTCGGTTTTTTCAACTTGCATCATGGTTCCCATGTCGTCATCGTTGCGTCAGCCTGCTGCATCTGTTCGTAAAGGTGGTGTTTTTTTGATCTATTTTTTATGCGTCTGCGTTTCGCCTGCTGCTATTTTAGTTTGGGTACGAATTTGAATGAAAATAATTGCGATTAGCGATTTTTATGGAGTGTAAGGTTCTGCACATGTTGTTCGCAATGTCTGACAAGCGCAATGATATTTGCAATTTGCGAATATGCGAATTTTGTTCTTACGTTCGGGGATTAGTGGTCGAGTTTGATTCTCTGTTTGAATGGTACTATATGCAGATTAGAACATGCGTGTTAGGTTATTAAGATTTGCAAATTTTCGAATTTTGTTGTTATGTTCTGGGGATTTGTTATTAAAGACTGATACTACCAACTGCACAATAGGATCGAAACATTTATTTTAAATTTCGACACTGAAATCTATGGGCCACACAAATCACTTTTGATTGTACGTTATTTTGTAAAACATCTACTTTTCTGTGCTTTTGGTGAAGTTTCTTCCAAATTACCATGGCTTTTTGTTTATTTTAATTCTTTAATATTTGTCAATTTTTATTTTATCGTTTAACTTTCCTTGCCACTTTTTGGCTTATTATTTTTTTATATACACCATATACACTACCTTTTAGTCCGTTCAAGATGAAAACAGGTATCCTATTTGCAAAAAAAACATTATTTTCGACTAACATAACTGCAGTGACCCGACTGGATCAGGAGGATTACATCTGGGCTATGCGATCAAACACCCTCCAAGAAGGTGGAGACTCAGACGTGCCGCGTCAATTATTGTTCGCAGATAGAAAACCTAAAGTCGATGCTAAAACTATCAAAAACCAAAAACAGGCTGAAGTTATGGCTTCTCTGGTCCCCGATGAAGTAATTTACAACGTAGACGATTACAATCACAGAATATACGAGGCTTCGTTTCTTTTTGGCGACGTTTCAGGTATTCACAGTTTTCGTTTTCATCCTGTGACGGAAGATTTTTTAGGTTTCACCGAACTGTGTGAAAAATATGCCAAAACCGGAATTTCCGGACCGTCAAGAATGACTCAGGTCTTAAATAAATATTTAGGTTCTATGGTACAAGAAATTATGTCCCACAATGGAGACGTTTTGAAATTTTCTGGCGACGCATTTCTTGCTATTTTCAAAATTTCGGATAATACGTCTATGAGAGACACGGTTCACGCTGCAATGGACACTGCCTTAATCATTCAGAAGAACTACGGTTCTTACTTAACAGACGTTGGCGTCGTGATTCGAGGTAACAGAAAGACTCAGGTCTGCAAAAGTTAATACAATTTTGATTAGTGAAACTGGCAATTTCTACCGGTCCTGTGACTTTCGCTCTCATTGGAAACGTGTCCAATTCCCATTACGTGGTAGTGGGACAACCCATATGGGATGTCAAAGCTGCTGAACATATTAGTAGTGCAGGTGATATCATAGTTGCAATGGTAGCTTGGAAATATGTTAACCCCTCGGAATACATCTACCAAGAGATGCCTGACAACATTCACATCAAGCTTATTAGTATCGGACCCAATTGGCGTAGCGTTCTGAAAAACGAAGTAAGAACCGATCTAGCCGTAGACACTGGCAGTATAGACTCAGAGTCGTCGGACAGCGAAGAGTTAATCGACATAAGTCGTGAAGGGGTAATGGACGAGTTCTTCTGTATGCTATGTAGAATTACATATTCGATCTTTTACATTTATGATTTTCAGTGAGACCCGCAGTGAATCAAGCACATAATCCTATAATCAAAGACAATTTAACAAAATTTATCATAGCTCCTGTCATGAAATGTATAAACACGAATGAACCAATCGAATATTTGACTGAAATGAGACAAGTGACTATTGTATTTATTAATGTCGTTTCGTTCCAGATCCAAGAAAAAGAAACGGTGATTTTGGCAAACGAAAGTTACAAAGTTGTGTGCAGGTTTGATGCCTAATAAACTAGTAAGTTTGATTATTTTGCTACCTATTTTCTTAGCGTTGTAGACAAAGCCAAAGGTTGCGTGAATAAGGTTTCCCTTTTTGACAAGGACTTGATGTTTATCGTCATTTTTGGTTTGCGAGGATTTAAGTATGAGCTGGAATGTCAAATGGCTTTAAACTGTGCCAGAGAGTGTCATAATGCCATCAGCAAACTTGACGGAGTTTTATCTACGTCTATTGGAGTTACCACAGGTAATGATTGCGACTTTCACTAAAACTGAAAGCAGTGGCGTAACAATAAATCTACGGGCCTGTGTTCCACAACACTATGGGGGCCCTAATGAACAGCGAAATAAAAATTATTTAAAAATACGAGTATAGTGAGTAAAATATGAGTATATTGCAATTAGGGCTTACGTTTTATTAAAATCATTCTACCTGAAACACTGAATTAAAAAACAAAATACCTATAATAACTACCTAAATACATATAATTAAAATGTATATTAGAAATAAAAATGCCCGTTTTTTTATCTCAAAATTGTTTTTTTCTTGCTTTCCAATGGGCACAAGTTGATACAAGATTTGACACATCTAAGCTTCTGGCAATATGATTTTCAAGTGAGATAATAAGCCAGTGAAGATAATCTGCATTGGCCCATTGTGTTACTTAAAAAAAATTTAGTCATTTTTAGTTTCGAAAAAGATCTTTCCGCTGAAGTCAGCGAAAGATGTACCTATTGTAAGAAAAGTGAAACATGTTGTGATAATTTCACTGAAACTAGTGCAGGTACTAGGTACTCATTCTGTAATAATTTGATGGTCCAGTGTTTTTTCTACTTAAAAAATTAGTTGTAACATACATCAGATATAATTTATTATTCCAAAAAAGCACCACAGACACAATATTAAAATAGTTTTGAAAATACGAAAGTTTTCATAAAACACAATTGAAACTGAATTTTTTTTTACGTCTTGCAGCATAAAATTTCACTGAAGATCTGAAGACAAAATTTAAGTATTTTGTTTAGTCATACTTTTGTAGGCTAAAGATTGGTAATTTACTTAATGGGGTGTTAGATTTGCCACAATGGAATTGCGACAGTGCGACAGATTTATTAGAAACAGATGCTGCTGCATTTCTGGCCGCCGGTGCCGGTCGCTAAAACCCGAGTTTATTGAGTCTATGTGCTCATTCACAATGGGCATAAAGCATAAGGATGTCATAAGCATTAATGCATAAGAATTTTTTGTTTAGTGCTCTATGCTTCTATTCGTTCACAATGAGCATAATGCTTAGGACATCCTTAGGCTTTATGCCCATTGTGAATGAGCACTTATGCTCATTGTGAACGAGTACAACCATAGAGCACTAAACATAAATCCTTATGCTTTATGCCCATTGTGAATGAGCACTATGACACTGAGATCAGAGAACATAGAGAAGCGTCATAGTTTAAATTAAATGACGGTTGAGGACTCCTCGACTTATGTTGGCAACAGTGTTCGTTTCTAACTAGGAATAAAATTAACTAGAAAAAATGTAATAATATTATTAACGACGCGTTTTAGTTTCGACAAATTGACACTAGATTTACCAGAATATTACAAGCTGATTACTCTTTCCTTCACTGTAATTCAGGTCACACGAATTACCGTTCGTCTGAGAACTTGTTTGATCTACAGACCCAGAGCGCACTCAGGTCAATGTCGACTCTAAACGTTCGGAAACGATTTGATTTATAAGCCATGGTCCGTGATCTGATATACATCCTAGCCGGCCTAGACCATAATTTGTTGCTGTTTCAACTTTCGAATTCTCAGTTTTTCGAAATTTTAGTTTGGGGACTTTTCAGTTTACTCCTATTTATTATTTAATTTTTAATTTCTCAATTTTTCAAGTTCTCGGTTTTCAGTTTTTCTCTTCAATTTTACGATTTTTAAATATTTCGATTTTTCAATTTTAGACTTTTATAAACTCTTTATTTGTCGATTTTTCAATTAATTGATTTTTCAGGTTTTTTGGTTTTTCAATTTTTCTATTTTTTCAGGTTTCGATTTTTCAACTTCACTTTTTTGATTTTTCGATTTCTCAATTTTTCAATTTTTTAATTTCTCAGTTTTTCGACATTTCAGTTTTAGGATTTTTCAGTTCACTTATTATTCAATTTTTCGATCTTACGATTACGCAGATTTTTGATTTTTCAGTTTTTCGATTCTTTAGATTCTCAGTTTTTGGATATTTCAGTTTTGGGATTTTTCAGTTTTTTGATTCGTCAGTTTTTCTTTCATTTTTCAGTTTTTCGATATTTCAGTTTTGGGATTTTTCAATATTTCTGTTCTTCGACTTTCCATTTTTGACTTCTGGATTTTTCGATGTGTCGACTTTTTACTTTTTCGATTTTTAAATTTTAGATTTCGCAATTTTTTTTAATTTTAATTTTTCAATATTTAAAATTTTAGATTTTTCTATTTCTCGATTTTTCATTTTAGCTCTTCCATATTTCAATTTTTCAAATGTTTCGATTTCTTAATCTTTCGATTTTTCGACCTTCCGGTTTTAGATTTTCTGTTTTTCAATTGTCGTTTTTTCAAATTTTCGATTTTTCAATTTTTCAAATTTGACATTTATAAACTGTTAATTTTTCGATTTTTCAATTAATCGATGTTTTGATTTTCCCATTTCTTGACTTTCGAGCGTTTCGATATTCCTGTTCAATTCTTTAAATTTCGATCGTTCAAGTTTTTGATTTTTGATTTTTTAGTTTTTTTAAGTTTTCGACTTCACTTTATGGATTTTTCGATTGCTCAATTTTTTGACTTTTTAGGTTCTCAGTTTTGGATATTTCAGTTTTCGGATTTTTCAGGTTTTCCCATTTTTCACTTTTTCTTTCATTTTTCAGTTTGTCGATATCGCAGTTTTGGTATTTTTCAATATTTTGATTCTTCCACTTTTCAATTTTTGACTCCTGGATTTTTCGATGTGTCGACTTTTTTACTTTTTCGATTTTTCAATTTTTCGATTTTTAAATTTTAGATTTTTTAATTTTTAAAATTTTAGATTTTTCGATTTCTCGATTTTTCATTTCAGTTCTTCGATATTTCAATTTTTCAAGTTTTCGAATTTTTCAAATGTTTCTATTTCTTAATCTTTTGATTTTTCGAATTCGCGGTTTTAGATTTTCTGTTTTTCACATGTCATTTTGTCAAATTTTCGATTTTTTAATTTTTCAAATTTGACTTTTATAAACTCCCAATTTTTAGATTTTTCAATTAATCAATGTTTTGATTTTCCCATTTCTTGACCTTCGAGTGTTTCGATTTTTCTGTTCTTCAATTCTTTAATTATTTCATTTTTCAAGTTTTTGATTTTTCAATTTTTCGGTTTTTTAAGGTTTCTATTTTTTGACTTAATTTTTTTGATTTTTCGATTTTTCAGTTTTTAGATATTTCAGTTTTAGGATTTTTCAATATCTCAATTCTTCGGTTTTTCTATTTTTGACTTCTGGATTTTTCGATGTGTTTTACTTTTTCGAATTTTCAATTTTTGGATTTTCAAAGTTTAGATTGTTCAATCTTTTGATATTTTAGTTTTTCAATATTTCTTAGTCTTTCGATTTTTCGACTTCCTGGTTTTAGATGTTCTGTTTTTCAATTTTTCGATTTGTTAATTTTTCATTCCCGATTTATCGAGATTTGATTGTTCAGGTTTTCGATTTATCAGTTTTTCAATTTTTTATTTTGGCCTATTTCGGTTTCTCATTTTTTCCAGTTTTCCATTTTTTCGTTTTTTTTTTATTTTTCCGCTTTTCCAATTTTTCAACTTTTAACTTTTTGTTTGTCGATTTCTGTATTTTTCAATTTTTCGACTTCATCACTTTTCGATTTCTCGTTCTTTTGATCATTCAATCTCTCAATTTTTCAATTTTTCGAATTTTAAGTTTTTTGATTTCTCGATTTATCGAGATTTGGATTTTCCGATATTTTGATTGTCAATTTATAAATCGTTCAATTTTTAACTTTTCGATTTTTCGATTTTGGCCTATTTCGGTTTCTCAATTCTTCGACTTTTCGACTCCATGATTTCTTGATCTTTTGATTTTTCGATTTCTTGGTTTTTCGATTTTCCAGTTTTTCGATGTTTCGATCTTTCAGTTATCCGACTTTTTAAATTTGGGAGTTTCGATTTCTCAATTTTTCGTTATTCGATTTTTAAATTTTAGATTTTTGAATTTTACATTGTTTCGATTTTCTGATGTTTCATTTTTCGATTTTCAGTTCTTCGATATTTCGTTTTTTCAATGTTTCGGTTTTACGATTTTTTAAGGTTTCGATTTTTCGATTATTAGATTTCTCGATATTTCAAATTTTCGATTATTTTAATTTTTCATTTTTTTTTCTCACTGTCAATATCATACAGTGTATTGAAAACAACTACAAAAATTGTCACTGAAAACATTTAAAAATTCATACAAAATAGAACACAGTGTTTCCAAAACATTTTCCCGAAAAAAATCCATTGGGTTATTACGATTTCAACAATATTCTTAGTTTAAGACGTGTTGCTAGTATAAAACACAAATAAAGAATTAATTCTTAGTTAAACAAAATATGTAAAATCATCTAAATATGTACCAAAAATATTCACCTAGTCGTTATAAAAACCGACTAAACAACTATTTCCCGCAGAAATTATAGTCTAAACCAACCAAGTTGCTTCTGAACGCTTAGAATCGATAATGGCCTGAGCGCGCTTTGGGCTGTAGATCAAACAAATTCTCAGGCGACAAGTTGTAGTGAAACAAGTTTTTTTATTTACATCGACTATTTAAATTTGGCGCTTGCCTTTGGCGGTTGAGGACTCCAATAAGCTCAATAAGGGTGGTTTTGCAAAATCAGACTGTATGTCGCATCTATATTAATCTATACTGAGATGCCGCCAGAGCTCAAACCCTTTGCAGCAAAAAATCGTAAATAGCAATGAACGATCGATCCTGCCATCACCGCACATTTTCGATTTTTTTATTTCGGGATGTAATTTGCCAAATAATATAAAAAATCCAATAAAAAAAAATTTCGTGTGACCGGATCGGGCCCCTTGACGAAGCGGGCCCGTGTTCCAGCGAACACATGGAACACCGGTAGTTACGCCACTGACTGAAAGTATACATTTTTAAACACTCTTTTAGGTAAAACGTACTGCGGTGTGTTCGGACATACTCTTCGTCGAGAATACACTGTAATCGGGCTCATTGTTAATAAGGCTGCCCGATTAATGGTGGCATACAAAGGTAAAGTTACCTGCGATAGAGACACGTTCTTGCACAGCAAACTAGAAGCAGATCATTTTGTCGTGCAAGAGTATAAACCTTTGAAAGGAATTTCTCACCCAGGACCTGTTTACGAGTTCATAGAAACTGATACGTAATATCATTAACACCAACACCTACCAAGCGTAACTATTTTAATAAATTAACAGAGATTACAGTACTGTCAAAATAGTATATTACATATCGAGGGTGGTAAGAAGCTAATTACGAACGAAGTTTACACACGAGCGAGCGTAGCGAGCGAGTGATGTAATATGAGTTCGTAATTAGCTTACCACCAGAGTTGTGTCATATACTTTTTCTACGATCTATAATGAAGAATCACTTTCAGAAGAATTTTTTTTGGGAAAGCAAATATTTATAGTTGCTATGGAAACTACCCAAACAGGCACGTAATATATATATATTACGTGCCTGTTCATTCATTACATGCCAGTGGGTGTAACTATGGTTTTACTATGAGGCTAGACAGTTCGTAATTCATGGATTACTATGTGGGAGTAGAAAAAAATCAGTTCGTGTCCTTTGCTTGGAAGAGAGGACAAATTAACACTGTACTTCCAGATGATAAAAATATGGAGGTCGGATGATGATGACAGTGAATATCCATTTAAAATGTTGGTGATAAAAGGTGAGGCTCGCCAAGGGAAGACGCGTCTTTTAGACGAACTTGTTTATATAACGCCTGAAACAATCTCAGTGAATAAAATTTTACTAACAAAGAAGAATCAAAAGGTCGGTGGAACACGCTCTGAGTTATATGTTTATAATCATCTTCTAGATACCGTATCACACAATTCAACAAATTTTTTATCTCCCGTTGCAAATAACCCCGGAGACATCTATAACGGAGAAGGAAAATAAAATATTTTCCATGTTGGAAAAAATGCGAGTTCATGCTATGCTTTGTGCCTTGAACGATGTGTTCGGAGTTAATTTTAACAAATCGAAATTGTACACGTCAATGAGCCAGCTTAACAAAAGGGCTGTGTTGCGAAAGTTGATCAAGTATCTAGCCCATGTCGTATGTATACAAAAAATTTTAGCGGGAAATTTTAATTGTCGCGCATGCGTCGAGGGAAACTCATTTTAATTTCGCGCCACGCATAGGCAACAATTCAAATTTTTATTTTTGTTGTCCAAAATCTTGATTTTTCGTCGTAGTGCTTTGCAACACCGTGGGTGTTTGCAATCGATAACTGCGAATTTATTGATGACTGGTCTTGGACGGTTTTCTCAAAGTTGTTTGAAATAAAGAACATTTTCATTGTGGCTACGATGGCACGTGAAAGTCTTAATAGATCTCAGGAGTGTAAGGAAGTTATTGATGATTTGCGCATTAAAAGCACGACCCTTAAACCCATTGAGAGGTTTCACCTTGGAGCTCTGGTCTGCCAAATTTTGGACGTGTATGCCATATCTCCGGAATTGGAAAAGTGTGATGTTTGCGCTCCAAATGGGTAACTATTAACAGGGTAGAATTTCAGTGCTGTCCAAACTAAAAGCAATGGTAATCCTGGATGGGTAGAAAGTTACTTGATTAGTTCAATTCAGGACAAAGCTCTGAACATTATGAAACTTACGTTGAAAGATATTCAGGAACTTGGTCTAGTTTGTCCTCCGTTGTACATGATGGCTAGGTAAAAAGCTAAAATTTGGAATGTCGTTTTGTTCACATATCTTTCAGGGTTGATATGGAAACTAAACATAAATGGCAAGAGATAATGGAGGAAAGAAAACTAGTTAAAGGTTACTTAGTAGCAAAAGACCACTGGGGAAAATATATCGACTGTTGTCGAGTAATGTTGTCGTATTTTTACAATGTGTTGTAATTTAGATTAATCCAACAGGACACTTTCTTAAATGTTAATATTCGAGAAAAAATGGAGGGTATTCCCCAGGGAGGCAAAGTACGAGTTTGTACGATATCTGAAACGTTTTCTAGCAGTGATAACGACGCAGAACTGTCATTAGATACCATGGTTCTAAAAACATTCGACAGTCTTAGTTATTACGAGCAGCTACTAGTCAAGTGTGGCGCAATTTTAGGATACCAGTTTTATCGAAAAATGTTATTGTATGTTATGTCTGCTGTAGACGTAAGAAAAGCGGCCTTGGGTAAATCTATTGTTACGCATAACAAAACGCTAAAACTTATATCCATAGCTGTTAAAAAATTATTCGAAATTAAAGTTTTGACTTGTGCCAAAGGAGATTTCCAAGAAGAAGGTACAGGTATCTTCCAGGAAAGGCTGTTGAACCCTGAGGAAGAATTCGAGCCCGCTTGCCTATGTAGAGGTTTGACTGTTTATGGTAGGTTTATTCTTTTTTCATACAGTTTCGTAATACCTCTTCATATACTTTAGAACAATGTATGGATTTACCTAAATATGCTTCTTGTGGTTTTCTGCAATTCAGATCATCTTTGTTTCGTGATATTACTTACAATCTCTTGACGGATAACCAAAAGAAGGAATTCCATCACAGGGCTATAGACTATTTAGAACGTGAAACACACAAATGCAAGGCTTGTGGTGGTGGGTTCTTTGAAAGAATTTTGGGCATCAGACACGACAAGGTTCAACAATCAATTTAATAAAAGTTGTAAACATGTGTAGAAAATTAATTTTGCAGGAATTTGTTACTCTAAAATGTAAAGAGAAAAAGTTAGGAGACGATTTTCAATGGGAAGCAAAGAGTAACGTCAGCAAGAGTACTGCTTACAGTGAATCAGCACTGTCGGGCAGTATCAGTCAGTTGTCTACTAGTGTTGCAAGTTCTGCAAGCGGAAGCAGGGCCTCACTTGTTACTTCTCGATCTCGATCGACGATATTCCCTGATGTTGAAAGCAAATACAGTTGATAATGTCGACTTGAAGAGGTTAGTTTTGAACCATGCATGTTTTTAGGTTCCGTATCCAAAGATCCTTTTGTTGGAATTTCTATGGTTAAAAAAATGCGCACGAGTTTCTCTTTGACAAAAGCTTTCTCGAAAGAAGACTTTACTGAGTGTCAATGCCGCTTAATTTTGAGCACCACTTACGCTCAACTGATTGAGCACTGCAACGGTGCCGGAAAACTTACCAAACTTATCGCAGCAATGATGAAATATGGTTACATAAACATAACTTCGTCTAATATTCCACTGGCTATGGGAACATTAAACGAAGCTTTGAAAGTTCTAGAACGCCTTCACACTAGACCTGAAGTGACAGAAAATCTCTGGAGATTTACGTTAATCCGCGCCAAAATTCACATTTTAATGGGATACTCGTTTCTAGAAATGGGCCACTTAAACGAGGCTCATGAAAATTTACACGCAGCTTTAAAACAATACGGCATCAAATTCCCAACTGGGTGGAGCAGGCAGATGAGAAAATGCGTCTACGCACTGAAGCATATTTGGGGTTTTTCCTTTTCTCCGAAGGCTCTAATAAAACACCTGGACCACTGGGAAACCGTTTATTTGAACGATCTGTCTGTATGCTTGTCTCATCTCTGTACCCTCTATATGGTGACCAACTGGGTTTAGAAATTCCATTCCTAACCACTGTTCGTAGACAAAGAATGACTGGAAAAACGCAGACATGGCAGCTACTTGGAGTTTAACAAAGTCTCTAGCATCTTTTAGCAATTTTCGGGTGATATGTACGGCGTGTGCAAACATGATACATTTAACACAACATTTTGGAAGGTGGAAGATGTGCGCTGCGTTGGAGGTTTATGCGTTAAGAATATGTCACATCAAACATGACGACATAATGTCCGACGATCTGAGGTGCATTGCAAAATTGTATGGAACCATTTTTACATCCAGGTATTAACAGATAATCCGAATGCTACTAAATTTTGATTTGTTTGCTTGATGAAGGCTACATCGGGCAGAAACGGATCAAGCCATCCACATGGGCTACATCATTTTGCGACTCTGTAATTCGATTAGTGCTGCCAACATTATTCTTCCTTTGCTGCCATATCTACTGACCATTCTTTTATTAGGAAAACATTTTCGAAATGTTGATTCGATTTTAAAAGACATGCATGAGCTTGGACAGAATTCCTCCGACCTAACGGGTAAAGACGATTTTCTTGAAGCAAAAATTTTAAATCTGATTTTAGGTAAAGTCTGGTATTATGCTCAATGTCTTGCCATTCACATTGAAACTGGATACATGGTGGTCCACTATGACAGTTGCCAGAGTTTTTATCAACTGGAAAATGAAAACTGGATTCACATCCATGAAACCGATGCTGTAAAAAAATTTCTCACATTAATGTGGCTATGGCAAATCATACCAAACTGAAATTACTTTTGAACGATTTTTTCCATATTTAGGTGTATGCGAGACGAACAATGGGAGCAAGCAATGATTTGGAGTGAAAAAGTTGATACATGTTTAGGACTTACTAAAGCAGACTCATTGTCATACAAACTCACATCATTGTATGTGTTTGAAGGACTACTGTTGTATTTAGTACACAATAAAGATATTGGTAACATAATAGAAATCCATGACATTGAAGATCGAATCAACAAGTTACTTAAGTGTATTGAAAATGCAACGAAACGGGACGAAATATTTTTTCCTAGGTATGACTTTTTTTGTAAAACTACAATACAACATTTTTTTCCATAAGGCTGTATCACTTAAAAGCATACTATAGACATATTACACATGGTGATTCAAAAGTACAAGAGCTACTGCAGAAAGGATTGGAATTTGCACAAAAACATGGCAATTTATTAGATGCGGAGTGGATTAGACACTCAAAAAAAGTAACTGCTAACTAGTTCTAGGACGATTATTAACGAAAATTCTTTTTAAAGGCGTGGAACAACGAACTGAAATCAGCTGTCTACACCTTTTGGAAAGAACATTCCGATATTGACAACACAGCAGACTTTCGTGAACTTGTGACCAGTGAGCGCGTAGGCTTTTTCAGCCTACCTACACCGCACTATAAATGAAACACTTAAAAATAAAAACTAGTAATAAATTACTATTAATAAAGTCGTAATAAGTTGTATGAATGTGTTCGTTTTGTTTATTTCAGTATGTTCGCAAATAAGAGAGTCAACATTAGGCTTTAGATTCCCTACTCATATTTTCTGTAATGTCGTATAAACAAATTACGTTCCCGTCTGGGGCACCGTAGACACTTCCATTCGCGCAACTTTTGACATTGACAGACAAGACAACACGTGTTTATCCAAGTCTGTCACTTTTGGTGTTCTAACCTCACACTGTTTGTATCATTTTTGCCATTTCCTTTCAAATACACGCAAAAATGGGAACTTCAAAGCCGCTTTTTCGTGATTTGGATCCAGACGATCCTGAACCCGAAACTACAGAGATTGAATCACTTTGCATGAATTGCCATGCTAACGTAAGAACAAGTGTACCTTTCTCAAGTTTCTACAAATAAAATATTTTCAGGGTACTACACGACTCCTATTAACCAAAATTCCCTTTTACAAAGAAGTGGTGTTAATGTCATTCTCGTGCGACGGGTGTGGGTATAAAAATAACGAAATTCAGTCCGGCGCTGCTATAAACCCTGAAGGCGTTCGTATCACTCTGAAGGTAGAAACACAGTCAGACTTAAACAGACAACTGGTGAAGAGTGACCACACGAGTATAAAAATTGTCGAGCTGGAGTTTGAAATTCCGGCGAAAAGTCAAAAAGGCGGTAAATTTTGAGGTTATGTTTGCGTTTTTTGGTAAATATTAATTTGTAGAAGTGACGACTGTGGAAGGTGTTATTAATCGTAGTATAACGGGGCTTGAACAAGATCAGGTTCTTCGACGAATCCAGCATCCAGAAGCGGCCGCCCAAATTGACGATTTCATCCAAAAACTACAAACCCTCAAAGAACTAAAATCGCCGTTTACTTTAGTAAGCATTTGACTTTTTGTTGACAGCACTACCAACAGAAGTAGGTTTTAGAGGACATTTCTGGAAACAGCTTTATTGAAAACCCTGTAGCCCCCAAAAAAGACCCCAAATGCGCCACCGACAAGTTTAAAAGAACGAAAGAACAGGATCACGAGTTGGGGGTTTTCACCCCAGATGAGGTTAGTGGTCAAAACAGCGCAATTTTGCAACCCATCGCAGAGGATGACTTTACATTGGAAGATCTGGAGGGCGAAGTCATGCAGTTTCCAACTAACTGCACCAATTGCAACTCACCGTGTCAAACTAACATGAAAATGACTAAAATACCGCACTTCAAGGAAGTGGTTATAATGGCAACGACGTGCGACTTTTGTGGTCATCGCACCAATGAGGTGAAGTCTGGTGGGGGGGTTGAAGCCAAAGGAGTACATATTGAGGTTGACGTGAATGGGCGGGCTGATTTTTCGCGCGACGTTTTGAAATCGGAAACTTGTGACTTGAAAATTCCAGAGTTGGACTTGGAAGTGGGGCCGCATGCCTTAGGAGGAAGGTTTACTACAGTTGAGGGGTTGTTGGTGGCTATGAAAGATCAGTTGAATGACTCAGGCTTTTCTCACATGTTTAGGGATTCACAGAATGATGAGTCAAAAGCGAAAATGGACGCGTTTTTTAAGAAGTTTGATCAGATTCTGGATGGAGCGTCTAAAGTGACGATTGTTTTGGATGATCCAGCTGGAAATAGTTACATTCAGGTATGTGTTATAAATTCGTGGAAAATATTGTGCTGACTGTTTTTTTATTATAGAGTCTTGGGGATGCAGACACTGGTTTGAGGATAACAAGATATGAAAGAACGTTTGAACAGAATGAAGATTTAGGTCTGAATGATATGAACACAGAAAATTACACAAATGATTGCTAGTATAAATTTTTATATCTTAAGATAAAATTTTGTACAAATTTAATCACCTTCGTCACGCACAACGGGTTCACCATCTAATTTTTTCAAGTTGGGGAGTTTTTTAATGGCTTCTTGTTTCCACACTGATTCCTCCATGTTTTCATAGAGAGGATTCCCTTGAAACAAAGTAGAGATTTAGCCCACAATAAAGTGAAATTATACCAACAAAAAGTAGATCTTCTAACATTGGTACATCTTGGAGTTTCATAAATTCACTCCATTCCTTCACCATGTTGTTGCTCATATATAAAACTTTTAGTTTTTTTAAAACGTGCACGCCTTTCATTTTTTCAACAAAGTTGTATGAAATCCAGAGTTCCTCTAAAGTGTCCCCTACTCCCTCCTGCAATCACAATTGTCGCAAGTACTAAAGAAACGTGATAGAAAATACCAGTCCTGCAAACGACTTAATGTAATTTCTACCCAGTGATAATATCTTCAAATTTTTTAATGAACTGATGCCTGCAATTTTTTCAATCATGTTTGTAGACAAACTTAATTTCCTGCAGAAGTTTGGTTTGGTTTGGTTTATGGTTTTTTTTTTTGTAACAGACCTGCATTTAGTAAGTGCGGACAAAGAATTGTCCATTTTCTCTATGGGTGGCCACTGAAACTGGAAGCCAACGTCTTCAGTCTCTGAAATATTTTGTCCTGGGTGTTTTTCTTCCCATTTTTTTATTGCATCTTTTATGGTTGTTGGTTTAGACATTTGTTAATTTTTGTAGGTAATATTTGCCGACATTTCTTTGTTTATACGGTTGCTGAGGAAATAGTTGCTGTGGAGGTTTGATGGCGCCAAAGTTTTTGTTCGAAAAAGTATAGTTACAACTGTCATTGTCAATTAACTGGTTGCAAAAAAAATCGTTAAATGTGTCTCGTCTCGAGTGACTTTTCAGCTCGAATAGCGCCTCGTAGTTATAATTTTGACAAATTTTGGTGAGATTATGAGACCTAGATGTTTAAAAAAAGTCAGCTTACACAGCAAGTAAATTCTTTTATTAGGACGATGGTAATAAATTGTATCTATTTCTGTAAAAATTTCGGTTCTAAAATGAGAAATAAAAAAATTCTTTGTTGGTGTAATGTAACAATTTTCGTCTGCCTTGCTGTTTAAAAATCCGCAGAGTTTCACCCCCTCGAGCACCCACCTCTTCTATCGATTGCTGCAGATTGCAGATGATTTAATTTAGGATTTCCAGAACGCTCCGGCCCCCCACACGTCGGCTCGTCCGCCGCCACTGTCCCGCTGTCACTTTTGACAGCCGTCACCAACACCCATTTCCAGCCCGGTTCCCGTCGGCCCCCTTTTCCAAAATCTCGGTATCGCGGCCCCCATCTCCATTTCCCCGTTTTCCCACAGAACCGGCCCCAAACAGCCCGAAAAGAATTCGATCAAGACGTCCCACGTGACCTCCATCTTCCAATCAGCGGCTTGCGGCAGATGTCGCTCCTGTCGCTGTTGCAGTTCTCGGTGTGTCTTTTAACCCTAGTGCATCTTCTTTAATTTTAATGACTTTTTGGCAATTATTCGCTTTATTTTGGCGCATAGAAGAGGGAAAAGCGGCGAAAGTGGTGGTTTTGGAGTAGTTGCGGGAGGTCGAGTCGCCGTTGGAGGTGCGACGGCATGAGAAACCTGACGCCGTGGCCGTGCATGTTTTCTTAATTTACCGTCTTTACCATCGTCACCTAACCGTCCTACCATCGACATGGTGTGTATTGGCCGTGGGCTTTGCCGGCGCGGCGACAATTAACTTTGTGGTGTCTACTGTTGCCGTTTTGCAGGACGCCGCGAGGATCATGAACATCGAGGGCAGCAAGGGGCAGAACGCCTTCAACGAGAACAACCATGCGGAGGTAAGGATACCAGGAATATGGTAGGATGGGGCATCCAGTGTGCGTGTCTCGCGTTTCTCGGATGTTTTCTACCGTTTGGCAGGAGTTTACATAGCCGCCTATTTTTAGAGGTGGAATCTCTGGCTAAATGTTTATGTGTTGTGACAGGCGCTAACTCGGACCGAGTTTTGCGGTTAGGGGGCTGTGTGACGTGCAACAATGGGACGTCATGTGTTGTTGCTCGTTAACGCGCATTTTAAACCAATTACGCTCGTTTACCTACATGCGATGGCAGAGGTGGCGGCGGCAGAGGGGCGGCGGGAATTAATTGCGCGAAAAAATACAGCCTGCTTAATTAATAACGTGATTTTTCGTTTTTTTTTTATCATCGGAATTCATTATTCTGTGTGTGTATGTGTGTGTGAACTAGAGTAATCAGTCTTATCGCAGAAATGTTTGTTTGTGATATACGAATTTGATTTTCATTGTTTAGATCACGTGGGCATAGGAATTGTGGGGAACCGATTATAGCCGGTGAAAACTGATGCTGTGGGTTTGGGGGAGGTCGGTTTTATTGCTTGCGCATTTCGAACAATCAGCAGATTTATTATTTTAAAAATTTATTGCTGTCCCCATTGGGAACTTATCAGGATTTACAAGTTGGCACTTGCGCTATTTTATTAGGTTTTTGTTGTTTTTTTAATGGTGCTATTTAAATCTAACCGTAAATTCTTATAGTGTTTTTGTATTTTCAAAATACGCAGCGAACTCTTGAAACAAAAAATCTTCAATGCGATTTTCTCCTAACTTCTGTTCTTAAATATATTTAATAGAATTTTGAGGTGTCGGGGATAAATATATAGGTTTGGATTCGTGCAATGTTACACTGTTGCTATGTTCCCAGAATTTCGGGAAAATCACATGAATCGTTTCTGAGATAATCAATACCGACACATCCATCTAGAGTTCCTTCATAAATGCTCCTAACATCCGGTGACCTATGACATTGTTGCACATTTGCCACTTCTCAGTAATGGTGGACATTTGAAGTTTTAATTAACGTGGTTAATGTCATCTGTCAGAGTAATTAAACATTTGAACTTTTTGCGAAAAATAATAAATGAGTTTTAACCTAACTAAAATTTGTTACCATAACATGCACCTTTGCATGATTCTAGAAATTTTTGCCATCAAATTTCCCAGTGGGAAAACCACGAGTTTTATGTAAATGTAAGTATGGCGACGAATAATATTGAAGTAAAACAACTTCGCTAAAAGTTGTAATTCACTAAGAACTAGTCAAGGGGGCTAAAAATAGTCGGTTGAAGTGTGCAGTCTATAAACGGAACTCTGTATGGAGACAATTTTTCGATGATTATCGGAATTAACAAAAAATATAGCTAGACTATGAAAAAATTTAAGTAAATAAAAAATCAAGACGTTTGTTGATTTTACTCAGTAAGTAAAAGCAACTGCAACAAGGTTAATCAGTAATTAATTCAATTGTTTCATTGTTTTGTATTCTAAATATTAAGCAAATAGGTGAAGTACACCAAGTGACATTGAATCACGTGTTCAAAAGATAAGGGAAATCAACAGTTCTACGTTGTAGAAAATTATCTAGTATGTAAACGATGATTTCGGCAAGGAATAACGAGCATTTTTGTGGAGTGACGTTTGCTGTGGCTACTGTTTGTGGAGAAAAGCGCAATTATGATTTTATTATCAGATTTAAATTTAAATGCATTGCGAAAAATACAGTGCCTGGTGATAAAATTGTGGGCAAACTGATAACATGCTTGTTTGTGGAAGACAAACAGTCGCATTATTAAATAAAATGCTTTTATGATTGTGTAAATTAGATTAAGAAACGCTAACTAAAATGTCTGTACGTCCCCACCAAAAGTGGTGACGTCATCTTAAAATGTTGCCAAATAAATTGCGGTTTATTGGTTCAATTTTATTTTGATTAAAAGTACACAATCCAATGGATGATATTTTATCGCATGTTGCGTAAAACGCGAAAGCCTTGATGACGCAACTACAAAATTTCGTCAAGTCAAACTCATTTGAAATGCAAAAATATCATACAGGGTGTCCGAAAAAATTATTTTTAAAGAACACCCATATTTTTTTACATATTTTGATTGACCTCTGATTCCATTTTTTTTTTATTTTTTGAATTTTTTAGCAATGAAAGGGTTCACAGAAAATTGCAGTAGGGTTATTTTTAAAATTTGTGGTAACAATATTTTGTGAAATGATATATAAAGGTACGCGCTTTGTTGTGGTATAAATAAAATAACATTTTTTATACAGAGTGTTTAGAGTTTTTTTTAATTTTTCAAGTATCAATATTTCAATTTATCAATCAAATCAAATAGAACACCTTTATCCTATTTTTTGTTCCCTTTTTTATTAAGTATTTTCTATATTTAAAGTTGGGGCTGCAATTTTTTTGAATGAAAACAAAAAATATAGTTAGACTTGGTAATAAAATAGTGTTGTTTTTTTTTGGAAAAAATTGTAGAGTTTTAGATTTTTTTATAATCACCCTGTATATTAAAATTTGATTAAAACGCACTTTCCACAAAATATTGTAATATAGATTTTAAAAATAACCCAATTGCAATTTTTTTGTGAATCCTTCTATTGCCACCGAATTGAAAGAAAATTGGAATAACATGGCAACGTTGAAATTGGAATTTAAAAAGTAAATAGATTATATACCGAGTGATTGAAGTGTTTAGATTAGAGATGGCCATGGAAATATTTGTCATGTCTTTGATTAAAATACAAATGTCAAAAATCCAAATTATTGAAATACAAATGAGGTTATGCATGACAGTTTAATCAAAGACATGACAAATATTTCCATGGCCAATTCTAATCTAAAAACTTTTTGATCACCCATCATTTTGAACATATGTTAGCATTGCTTTTTTAGATATATCGAGCGTCCCAGTTAAAATTCCACGGCCTTATATCTTCAGAACAGATAGAGATATTGAAATTCCGTAAACGCCATTGTTTTTAACTTGAAGGGGAAAGCTGAATTTAGTACATATGTATGGCGATAGTAAATGTGTTTTAAATTTTATATAGTAACATATTTCTGCACTTGTTGAATTTTTTGCCCTAGATATCCATATTTTTTGAAAAAAAAAAACAATCAAAATGTTATACAATTAACTGCAAATTGACTTTGAAACTGAAAAACCGAATTCCCTGAAATCTTGAACTTGTGGTTTATGAATCCGTGTTGAATTTTACTCCAGATATCCAGATGTTTGGAAATAAACCAAAATTGTGTAACAATATTTTACAATGTATAACTTCGGAAGTAGAAAACCAAATGATTTGAATTTTCGCAGACGTTCTAAGGTAGGCATGGTAAATCATTAACCAATTTTTTTTTAATTATTTCATTCATAATCACAAATTCTATCAAAATTTTGGTTTGCAATTTATCAACTTCAAAGCATGTGCTAAATTTCAGAGCAAATAGTTGAGCATTTACTAAGATAAATTGTAAAATTTTAGGAAATATAGGCCCCACCCACCCATCCTATTTCAGTTGTACCTAATGATTTTTTTTTATTCGTTGTCAGACCGAGGGGCGGAGCGTAATGGCAAAATACAGTATAACCTCGATAATCAGAATTAATTGGGGAAAGGTGTGTTCGGATTAGCGATTTGTTCGGATCAGCGAATTTCCCAATTTTCTTAGAGGATATGTCATTTGCCAAAATGAGTCTCATCTTGACAAGTACTAGCCCCGCCCACCCACCCTTATTTTATTAGAGGATGGCATTTGCAAAAATCAGTTTCACTCATACTTGCCAAGATAAGATTGATTTTGGCCAATGACCTACTCTTCTAAGAAAATAAAGAATAGGTCATCTGCCAAAATCAGTGTTATCTTGGCAAGTATGAGACTGATTTTTACAAATGACATATCCTCTAAGAAAACAAGGGTGGGTGGGCGGGCTTAGTACTTGTTAAAATAAGACTGACTTTGGCAGATGACTCACTCTTTTAAGAAAATAAAGGGAGGGTGGGCGGGGTTAGTACCTTTTCTTAGAAGGGTAGGTTTTATTAAAAAAAAATTGGTCCAAATTTATACAATTTTCAGCCAAATGTTTTGAGCCGTTCGTGAGAGACGTCATCCATTTTTTAGGAGGGTAAACGGATAAATTTTGATTAACGATTTACCATGCTTATGAGAACCTTAAAACGTTGCAAAATTTTAGAGCATTCGGTTTTGCAGTTCCAAAATTAAATTGTAAAATTTTGTCATACAATTTTGATTTTTTTTTTCAAAAATCTGGATGTTTCGAGCAAAAAATCAACACGGATTCCTAACTACACGTAATAGTATGCTCTTCTATAACAAAATTTATAATATTTCGGATTACTGGGTGTTCGGATAATCGTGGGTTCGGATTATAGAGGTTATACTGTACATATTTCCCAACAAAAATTTTGAACTTGTTTTAAGTTTCTTGTTGTGACAAGAAGACTACGTATATTAAGAAGAAACGGCAAAATATAAGCCCCACCCACCCACCCTGTTTCAATTGTAATGATTTTTTTTATTCGTTGTCAGACCGAGGGGCGGAGCCTAATTGAAAAATACATATTCCCCAACAAAAATTTTGAACTTGTTTTAAGTTTCTTGTTGTGAAAAGAAGACTGCGTATATTAAGAAGAAACGGCAAAATTTAAGCCCCACCCACCCTATCTCAGCTGTAATAATTTTTTTTAGTCGTTGTCAGACCGAAGGGCGGAGCGTAATGGCAAAATATATATTTCCCTACAAAAATTTTGAACTTGTTTTAAGTTTCTTGTTGTGAAAATAAGACTACGTATATTAAGAAGAAACGGTAAAATATAAGCCCCACCCACCCACCCTATCTCAGTTGTAATGATTTTTTTTATTCGTTGTCAGACCGAGGGGCGGAGCCTAATCGAAAAATACATATTTCCCAACAAAAATTTTGAACTTGTTTTAAGTTTCTTGTTGTGAAAAGAAGACTGCGTATATTAAGAAGAAACGGCAAAATTTAAACCCCACCCACCCTATCTCAGCTGTAATAATTTTTTTTAGTCGTTGTCAGACCGAAGGGCGGAGCGTAATGGCAAAATATATATTTCCCTACAAAAATTTTGAACTTGTTTTAAGTTTCTTGTTGTGAAAATAAGACTACGTATATTAAGAAGAAACGGCAAAATATAAGCCCCACCCACCCACCCTATTTCAGTTGTAATGATTTTTTTTATTCGTTGTCAGACCGAGGGGCGGAGCGGAATGGCAAAATACATATTTCCCTACAAAATACATGTTCCCCTGTAAAAATTTTGCACTTGTTTTAAGCTTCTTGTTGTGTAAAAAAGACTACGTATATTAAGAAGACAGGGCAAAATATAGGCCCCACCCACCCACCCTCTTTCAATTGTAGTGATTTTTTTTTTCGTTGTCAGACCAAGAGTGGAATTTAACTGTAAATTCCATTTTTCTCTACAAAATTTTCTCTTTTAAGAACATATTTCACATGGTAATTTCTTGTGGAGAAACGAGGATTTTGCCCTCGATTCACAATGAATAAAAAAATCATCACAATTGGGAGGAGGTGGGTGGGCGGGGTTTATATTTTGTTCGTTTTTTGTTAATATACGAAGTCCTCTTTCCCAACAAAAAACTGAAAACATGTTTAACTATTGTGTTGTTCACAGAAAACTTTATACCTATATTAAGAAAAAAAAAAAAAATTAAGCACGACCCACCCGTCCCGATCTGAACTGTGATGGGGCGATGTATTTTTCTGTCTTCGACTTTGGTCAGAAAAGATGTGAATTTTTGAAAATCGCAGTCAATCTTATATTTTCTAAAATAAATTTTCTTTTCCATTTTTTTTTTTCAAACTCTAGATGTCCAGGTATAGAAAGAAGCATATTATTTTATAAAACTAAAAGGAGATACTGACATTTTCGTATTTTACAAACTATAAAAAAAAGTTGTTTTTATTTCTAACAAAACTTCGAGAGCTACTGAGATTACTGAGATTTTGGGAAATTTTAAAACAAATTTATTTTGAACTAGTAGAACATCACGCTGATATGAACAACCTTGTATATTAGCACAAAATTGATAAAAGAACATGAGGAACGATGTTTTCGGTAATTATTATGACAAATGATAATGACCATAAATATGAAGCAGTGACCTTGACAATCGAATGGACGCCGCATTATTGCATACCATCGCACTCGTTACAGTCATGTCTATATTCATACACATTATGCAACAATTAACATAACTGTACTTTTATTCAGCTCGGTCCGATTATCCGGTGCATAAATGTTATTTTTAAATGAAAACCTTGAAATTCTTAACACCTCAAACCTCCACAGCCGCGTGCACCAGTCCTCGCAAAATTTCCCAACCTCTCCACCGAGTCGGCAATGCAACAACAATTGCGTTAAACTCTTGCAACAAACCGCGTCACACCGACACTTCCATCGCCTCGCATGCACACATCACCCCTGACGCAATACGCGAAAATCGACCGAAATTTTGGCAGGCGTCCCTTCGCCCCCCCGACTCGCCACCACTGCCACCGCCGAACCATTTATCCGGTTTATATTTACACTCGCACACGGCATTTGCGTTGCTTAGTCGTGCCATGTTTTGCGGTTTATCGGAAAAGTCGCCGCGCCGAAAAACCGCCGTCTACGAAAATTCGGTCACGTGTCGTGCATGCTCAGCGTTTCGATGGCCCTCGGCGGCATCTTCAGGCGCAGGAAGCGCGCCGACGTCGACCTGGTACGGCGCGATGTTCTTTTGGCGACTCAAAGTGCTCTTTCTATCCTTGCAGGCGAAGAACAACTCGGTGGCCAACGCACCGCCCCCCACGCCCCTCAACAAGACCAAGCTGACGACCGGCACGGTCCAGGGGCCGATGATCAAGAAGGACAAGCGCCACTCCAGCTCCAGGTTCAACATCACGAAGAACAGGGAATTGGAGATGCTGCCGTCGCTGAAAGGTATGCGAAGAGTTTGGCGGCGCTATTTTTAGGGAGCGTTTTGTCGCTGGACGGCTATTTCGGGGATTTTTTCGGGAGGGCACTGGGTTAATGGGTTCGTTTCGTGTCAAGGTGCAGACGGTTTACGAGCAGAAGTTATTCGGTTAGGCGAGGTTGCGGATTTGGGCAGAGGCGTGCATTGGGGGGAGGGAGGCGCCTTTGGCGCCGCTGTCGCGTGGGCGCTTTAGGTCGCTTGCTTTAAGCGGCGATTGCAAGCTCGTTCTGGACAAAAGGTGGAGAACGAAATGAAGGGGATGCTGAGGACCAATTAAAAGCGTTTATGGTCCGTTTACCGAACAGATGGAACGATCACGTGCGCTTTAGGTATCAACGTTTCGTTAACTAACACAGAGCTTTCATTAATGTTTATATCTGGTAAGCTATGCATTTTGTTTATAAGTTGGTGGTACTGACAGGTTGTCAAGTTCAATTTAAAATTTGACCTTTGATGTCAAAGTTTGGCTACATATATTTCACTTTTCTATTTGACATTCGAATTTTAGGGGGAACTTTTTTGTAAACACTCTGTATTAAAATTTGATTTAATTATTACCACAACAAAGGCCGCCTTTGTATGTCTCTGCATAAAATATTACTACATAGATCTTAAAAATAACATTATCACGATTTTGTTGTGAAGCCTTGCATTGCGAGAAAAAAATCAAGAAAATTAGACTAGCATGGCAACGTTGCATCGGAATTTCAAAAATAAGCAGTGGCTATAAAACCTTAGAAGAGGCTAATGAGAATATGTAAAAATATATATAGGGTATTAAATTAAAAAATGGAAGTTGTATGCTATGCCTCAAAAACAAAACACTCTGTATAGTCAAAAATAATTTTGCCATATATGCTACTCAAAGAACGCTGTAAGTTTAGTCTCTAACTTTTTTCTATCTCTAATAAATAATTGATGATATTTCGAACACGGCTCGCTAAGTAACTCATCCTGTATACATCCTGATAGACAAAACTTATTATATAATTTTTTTGTAACTTTCGACCTCATGAAGTTATTTCGGTTTTTCATGTCTTAGAAAATTCCTAATCTTTCCCCAAAACTCCAAATGAAAATGCAATTTTTAGAATTTTCAATTTTTTTTTAATTATACAGGGTGTTTTTCAGATGTGACACAAGCTAGTTTTTGGCGATAGTGTCATTTTTAACATGTGTTTTGCAGTATTTTATGATAATAAACATAATTTTAATGTACAGAGTGTTTATAAAAAAAAATCTAAAATATAGCAATTTTCAACATTATCGAAATTTCGGTTTTCTTAAATAGAACACCCTGTATTTTATTTATTACTGCTTCTTATTCTCACCCTTCGTGTTCCAAAATTGCTACTCTTTCCAGGATCACCCAACTGAAATGTGGTTTTTATTTGAATTTTCAAAAAAACTTACTTCAAGCCGAATATTTCGAAAATCTTGGTCCGGTATCATCAACATGCTAAGTTTTACCATTTAGCTCGTCAAGATTTCTGTCCGTGATTTTTTTGTGGATTGTAGGTTGCTTTTCCAAAAAAACCTCAGTTTTTCATGTCATTTTTAAAAATTTTTCGAGCACCTTCGGAAATTACTTAGTTAAATTTTTTTGTAGATTTCAACCTCATGAAATTATTTTTGGCTTCATTTCGTTAAAAATCCTTAAACTTTCCACAACGTTACAAAAACGAAATGTGGCAGTATTTAGAATTTTGAAATTTTTTAAATTATACAGGGTGTTTTTGAGAAATGGTACGACTTGGTTTTTTAACATAGTATCCCCTATATAAATGCCTCATTTTGAAATACATGACATATTTTGATTCTTAGGCTTTACAACCGTAGTGAAATGTTGCCACGTTCGATTTTTTTGAATTTCTTTAGTAATGCAGGAGTTATAAAAAATCGTCATAGTGTTATTTTTAACATTTGTGTTACAATATTTTATGAAGAGATAAACAGAAATAAGCACTTTGTGGTGGAAAATTAATTTTAATATACAGAGTGTATATAAAAGATCTAAATTTATCACAATTTTCAATATTGTCGTTATTTCAGTTTTCTCAAATAAAACACTATTCTCTTCTTTTGTGTTCGAAAATTTTCCCAGAATCGTCAAAATGAAATGTGAGAATTTTTAGAATTTTCAAAAAAATTTAATTCAAACTGAATATTTTGAAAGTATTAATTGGGGATCATCGGCAAGCTATATTCAGCTCAAGATCTATATTCGTAATGTTTTTTGTAGATTTTTAGGCTACTTTTTCAGGAAACTCAATTTTTCCTGAGATTTTCGACTTTTTTTTAGCACCTCGAAAATTACCTAGTCAGATTTTTTATATATTTCGATTTCATGAAGTTATTTTCGTCTTCTTTTCTTAGAAAAATTCCTGATCTGCTCCCAGTCTGCAACACGAAATTTGACAATTTTTAGAATTTTCCATTATTTTTTTTATTATTCTAAAGGGTGTTACTGAGCGATGACACAACTTTTTTTTAATAGGGTACTTGCTATCCCATAATTTTTGTGTATTTCGATTCTTACGCTTTAAAACCGTAGTAAAATTCCGATGCGGCGTTGCCACGTTTTTTGAAATTTTTAGCAATGCAAGGGTTGACAAAAAAATCGCCATAGTTTTGTTTTTCTCATCTGTGTTGCAACATTTTATGAAGAGATAAACAGAAGTACGCACTGTGTTCTGGCATCAATTAAATTGATTTTAATATACAGAGTGTTTGTTTTTTAATCTAAAATATAGCAATTTTTAATTATTGATATTTCAGTTTTCTCAAATAAAACACCCAGTATTTCATTACTGCCTCTTATTCTCTCCCTTTGTGTCCGAAAACTTCTATTCTTTTCCCAAAATCGCCCAGAATCTCAAAATGAGATGTGGTAATTTTTATAATTTTCAAAAAATTTTATTTTAAACCGAATATGTATTTCGAAAATCTTGGACCGGGATCATCGGCAAGCTATATTCAGCTCGTCAAGATCTATATCCGTATTTTTTTTTTCTGGATTTTAAGGCTACTTTTTAAAAAAAACTCAATTTTTCATTACATTTTCGACTTTTTTTTCAGCACCTTCGAAAATTACCTAATCATTTTTTTTTTATTTCAATCTCATGAAGTTATTTCCGCCTTCATTTCTTAGAAAAATTCCTGATCTGCTCCCAGTCTCCAACACGAAATTTGACAATTTTTAGAATTTTCTATTATCTTTTTTTGTTATTATAAAGGTGTTCCTGAGAGATGACACAACTTTTTTTTAACAAGGTACTCGCTATCCCATAATTTTTGCGTATTTCGATTCTTAGGCTTTAAAACCGTAGTGAAATTCCGATGCGACGTTGACACGTTTTTTGAAATTTTTAGCAATGCAAGGGTTCACAAAAAAATCGCCATAGTTTTGTTTTTTCCATCTGTGTTGCTATATTTTATGAAGAGATAAACAGAAGTACGAACTTTGTTCTGGCATCAATTAAATTGATTTTAATATATAGAGCGTTTTTTTTTAATCTAAAATATAGCAATTTTTAATTATTGATATTTCAGTTTTCTCAAATAGAACACCCAGTATTTTATTACTGTCTCTTATTCTCTCCCTTTGTGTCCGAAAACTTCTTTCTTTTCCCAAAATCGCCCAGAATCTCAAAATGAGATGTGGTAATTTTTATAATTTTCAAAAAATTTTATTTTAAACCGAATATGTATTTCGAAAATCTTGGGCCGGGATCATCGGCAAGCTATATTCAGCTCGTCAAGATCTATATCCGTAATTTTTTCCGGATTTTTAGGCTACTTTTTTAAAAAACTCAATTTTTCATGACATTTTCGACTTTTTTTTCAGCACCTTCGAAAATTACCTAATCAGATTTTTTTGTATATTTCAATCTCATGAAGTTATTTGCGCCTTCATTTTTTAGAAAAATTCCTGATCTGCCCCCAGTCCCCAACACGAAATTTGACAATTTTTAGAATTTCCCATTTTTTTTTATTATTATTATAAAGGTGTTCCTGAGAGATGACACAGCTTTTTTTTTAATAGGGTACTCGCTATCCCATAATTTTTGCGTATTTCGATTCTTAGGCTTTAAAACCGTAGTGAAATTCCGATGCGGCGTTTTTTGAAATTTTTAGCAATGCAGGGTTCACAAAAAAATCGCCGTAGTTTTGTTTTTCTCATCTGTGTTGTAATATTTTATGAATAGATAAACAGAAGTACGCACTTTGTTCTGACATCAATTAAATTGATTTTAATATACAGAGTGTTTTTTTTTTTAATCTAAAATATAGCATCTCAAAATGTGGTCTATTTTCTGTCAATAGTGTTTCGTAGTATTCCTTCCATTCTTTCATCTTTATAATATCTAACCTTCCCGTATCTTTGTTTCCTTTTCTCAGATTTTTTATAAATTTCCATGCTTCAGACACTCTTGTTCCTCCCATGTACCGATCCATTTCTTCCAATCTTTTTTCCCATATTTCATTTTTTCTTTTTGTTACCATGTTCTTGACTTGTCGGTTCCAGTACGTATATATTTTTCGATCTTCTGAATCTTTTGTTTTTAACCAGATTTGGTATGCTTTCTTTTTCGTGTCCACTACATCCTTCATTTCTTTTGACCACCATTCGGGGTTTTGTTTCTTATCTTTTTCTACATATCCTATGGCTTCTTGTGCTGCTTCGTGTATAGCGGCTTTTGTTTGTTGGTACATCCCTTCCGCCGTATTTTTTCCTCTTCCAATGTTTTGTAATTTTGTGGCTATCCTGAGTTTGTATAAAAATGAAGTGGATTCTTGTCTGAGGCTTTGTAGATTGTATTTATTTATATCCAGGGTTTCGGCTCTGATATTATCTGGTTGATGGTTAGCGCTGATTTTTCTATAGTTAATTAATATTTTTGCTATGGTTAAGTAGTGGTCTGATCCGCATTCCGGCCCCCGATACACCCTTACGTCTAAAGTT